TCAAGATAGCTTGAGGAACTCCAATTTTGATATCGGATTTTGAAAAATGATTGTTTATTATTTAAAAATTAAACTGGAGGTTAATAGGGCTGACTTGAGTGGTAAGTTTCAAGTTGACATCATTATTGCCTTGTTACCAAACTCATTCAATTCTGTTAGAGTGAACTAAATAAGGAATCAGTTTGAGTTCACACTCGCTGATATTCTTATAGAATTGGTAACAGATGAAGGGATAATTAAGAGTATGGGCGTTCCTATCAATCTAACCCAGTCTATACCATCTTCTTCTAGGCCCAAATGGACGGGCAAAGCAAAGACAAAAGATGATAATAGGACTAGGCTAGCACAAAACATGGGTATCCAAAAGGTTAAAGGGAATAAGGCAGTGTATGTTGAGGGCAAATTAAATTGTTTCTTTTGCTGCTAACGAAGACATTAAAGAACGAACTGTCTAAGCAATGACGTGGTATAGGAAAATATATATTTAATCATTGAGCCATGTTATGTGGTTGTATCTATTAATTCCTGATGGATAGATTCTGGAGCCATTAAACATTTTTGCAATTCGTTGTAAGGATTTCAGGAATCCAGAAGCCTCGATGATATGGAATATATTTGTACTTGACCCGATGACAAGGTTGTAGCTAAGTCAGTGGGAGTATTACATCTGAAATTAAAGAGTATGAGGATATTAGTATTAGAGAACTATCTTTATGCACAGAAGTAAGATATTATCTAATTCTTGTTTCACTTGTGGTTTATAAAAACTGGATTGTTATTTAGTAAAACTGGTTTTATAAAATTGAATAGATATGCGATTGCTTCTGGTGCATTGAAAGATGGTTAATGTACTATAATCACAAACTCTTAAGATTTGCAGGATGTAGAAACTAATGTTGCATATTCTAGATTGAATGTTAAAAGAAAAATTGTTATTCCTGACTCATTGTATTTTTAGTGTCTATTATTGGGTTGTAATCAATCAAAATGAGATTCAAAGATTGGTCAAAGAAGGTTTATTACCTAGTGAGGCAGAGGGGCCTAATCCAAACTTGTGAATCCTGTTTTGAAGGATAGATAACTCTAAGGGCTTAATCAGCCAGATAAAATAGACATAAAGGATAATTGGAGTCGGTACACACAGACACGTGTAGTCTTATGAACATCCAAGTAAGTATACTCACGTTTTGGATAAATTTATCTGATGCGACATGAGTCTTAAAATTTTGGTACATTCTGAAAGGGTCAAGACTGATGTGGAGCACAGATTAAGTAAACTTATCAAAACAATCCGATCTGATCGTGGATATGAGTATTTCTTGGGATAGTGCAAAGACTATATGGTCAATGAGGGTATGGTGTACCAGGTTTTCCGCAATTGACGCTAAATGAATTTAGGTGTCAAAAAGGAATAACAGAATTCCGTTTAACATAGTTAGATCTATACATTATCTCTTTCATTTTAGAGTTTAGCTTTGACGATATCAATGCACATTATGAATTGCATTCCATCTTAGTTTGTCTCAAGGATACCGTTGAGTTGTGTTTTTGACTAAATCTTAGTTTGAATCACATGCATATATGGGGTAGTCTTGCACATGTGTGCTTGATATGGACAAGTAAGTTGGAAACAGATCATACGCATGATAGATTTGATAGCTACTCTAAAAAGCACTAGGATGGATTATTTTATGATCTCAATGATAAAAGTTAATTGTATACACTCACTGTTTATCTATAGGGGGATCATATTATGAATCATATACCTAGTAGCATAATGTTAGAGAATATGGTATGAGTACCAGATGTATCACATATGAACACACTTATTATAATAAAGATTGAGAATAATATATGAATTCCCTATTGATGCGTTAGCATCATCTAGTACACAGATTCCTGCATCGGTACATTGATGTAGTGGGAGGATTATCATCCAATCCAACGGAATCATGTTTTTAGGTGAGACCGTTATGAACATCCCTGTTAAACATGAGTTGGACCCAGTAAGCTACACGGAAGCATGAACCGATATGGATACAGATCGTTTTGGCGAGTTACTATGAAATCAGAGTTGGAATCTATGTATTCTAATAAATTCTGGGATCTTGTAGAACTTTCTAGTAGGGTGATTCCTATGGAAGGCAAGTTGATCTACAAAAAGATACCAGAAGATTTCTTAGTGAATAAATCATGAATGTACAAGGGAATGTCATTATTTTTCTGATTCTATATATATATTGATGACATCCTACTCATTTAGAATGATGTGGAAGTTTTGATAAAAAGGTAGTTGTTCAATTACTTTTAAATGAAAGATTTTTAAGATGTAAGCTATATTCCTAGGATCAAGCTTTTGCAAGATCAGGTTAAAAGGAAAATAGGCTTATCTTAATAATCCTACATTGATAAAGTTTTGACCAGGTTTGGTATGCATAACTCAAAGTATGAGTTCTTGCTTGATTGACATGGATTGCTCTCTCCAGTAGGTAGTTTTACAAGACTGACAGAAGAGATTGAGCAAATGAGACTGGAACTATATGCTTTGGCATATAGGAGTCTCATATATGCCATGGTCTATACCAAACAGGACATCCGCTACATAGTAGGGATAGTCAGTAAAGATCAGTCCAATACTGGACTTGACAACTGGTCTGTTATGAAAAATATCATTAAGTACCTAAAGAGAACCAATGATCTCATACTCATTTATGGATGTGATGATAGGGTCCTGGTCAAGTATACTAGTTCTGATTTTCAATCAGAAGTAAATACTATGAGGTTCATGACTTAGTGTATGTTCACTCAATGGAAGGGAAATCAGTTAGTAGATTGTTAAGTAGATTTTAACTGCTGACTCAAACCTACAGGTGGAGTACATTGCAGCCTTAATGGCGGCAAAGGAAGCCTTTTGGTTTGATCTCACTGATTTTAGAGGTTGTGGAGCATACTAGTCTACCTATCGAGCTATATTGCGACAATAGTGCAGAAGTAGTCCAAACCAATGACCCAAGGTTCCATAGAGGAACAAGATATACTGAGAGGAAGTATCATGTTCCACATGATATTGCCCGGCAAGAAAGTGTACTTGTGGCTAGAACATTGCATTGGAACACAACTTTGTTGATCTATTAACAAAAGTGTTATTGATTAATAATTTTAATCATCATCTGGATAACATTGGAGTTAGATGCAATTTGAATTGGCTATGAGGGCAAGTGGGAGCTGTTGGGATTTATATGCCCTGACATAGCAAATTCCTATTTGGATTAAAGTGACATAAGTTCCTGACGAAACTGAAATATTTATGTTTTATACAATTGGTGAATTCAATGTATTATGTTTCGATTCATTATAGAATTGATAGTGTCCACTTGATTACAAGAGATATTTATATATGTATGTGATGGCGATCAATACATGAATATAAATAATAATCATAAATGGTTCATGGTCGGTGATTATGGATGGACTCATAATTGATTAAGACTTGAACTGGATTCGCGTTAGGTTGAGATATATTGCGAGGGCCGTCGTATGCAATTGCTCCCTATCACCGTCATAGCATTTGACTCTTAAGCATGAGAAAATTATAAACTCTTTTATTAATTAATAATTACTTTGATTTGTTCGGCGGATTCTTCGGGTTCCTTAGACCGACACTTTGGGTAGTTATGTAATTAATAGTTAGAGGATTATATTTTCATTATTTGCATCATTGCTACTTGTATTTATTTTGTATTGATTATGGTTGATCACAAAGTAAATTCGAAGGCTTTCGTATGTTTTTAGACAAAATGATTTATTATATATTTATTTATTTAAATTATTATTTTTGTCAAACAAATGTTTTATTGTGATCGAGCCAGAAATAATCAATGGTACCAAAATAAATATATTAATTAAGTAGTCGGATTGATGGCTTTATTTATCCGATAACTAATTATGCATAGAGGGGTCAAAGTGCAATATTGACTTAGTGGTTATTTATTATATAATTGGAGTTCAATTAATTTCTTTTAGTGGAGTATAAATTAATTTATGAATTAATTGAATTGGGTCCATGGACCGGACCAATTATTAATTCATTATAGCCAATAAAATAATAGGCCCAATGGATTCTCACTCATAACCCAACTTGATATTGGAATTTTATTAGATTTGAGACATGTGAATTAGAGATTGAGAATGATTTGTTGTTTTCTTTTCTTTATCTTTTTATTGCCTATAAATATACATGGTCTATGTATATTTTTTGGTGTAATTTTTGGAAGAAGGAAAAAGGAATAAATTTTCTCTCTCTAGAAAATTAAGGTTAGTGTTCTCATCTAATGAAGGCTCCCACAAGTCTAGTTTTTTAAGGTCATTCTTGGAGGCTTATGAGTGATTCCTAAAGGTAAGACCATTACCAAGAAGATCGAGATCCATGAAAAATGTATCTAGTAAAAGGGATTTACAATAAGTGAGAACATTCACTTTAGAGGAGAGATCTAAAGTTTACTCAAACCTTGATGTAAGTATTCAATCTTTTAATTGAATGATACATCATGTTTTATTTTTGCATAAAACTTGTCTTTACGTGATGAATCAAGATTTATGAATTTAAATCCCTCGAAAAGTTTTTAAATATTGCACGTTTCCCAACACTATCAAGTATATTGTATTTCTAACTTGTAACATCTCATATTAAATGAAAGACATGAGTTATGGTTTTTGAACTCAATTAGACACGATAATTTCCATCACATCTCAACTATTCCATTATATGCCTTTAAAAAATAAAAAATAAAAAACTATTCCCTAATAGGAACAAGTATATTAAAACCCTTGTTACACTTCTCTTTTTTCTAACAATTATGTTAAAATTATGACATCTACTGAAGACAGGATTGATCAATCACGAAAATATTTCGTCAACTCCTTTTCTAGTCGTCCAGTCGTGCCCACCACAATTACATCAGCATGCAGTTAGAAATGGGACAACAAATCAAATATCAATCTAAGATAAGTCAGAATCTACGATATGATGGGTAACCACGAGGTGCTGAAAATGGATCATAAAAACAACGGCGCAACTAAATATTTATGCTTCAACACCTTATGCCTGTTGTCACACAATATAGTGAAATAGACAGCATATTTATATTATCCCAACTATTTTTTTATTTTTTTCCCCTACCCTGACAAAACAAACAAAACAAAACAACAGCTAAAGAGAAATAGAACAAGAGAGGGAGGGGGAGAGCTCAGAATCAACAGCACTAAGCAGCCAAGAAGGCCATACTGTCCAATCGAAATCGCCATGTTTGAACTTTAAAGCCCATTGGCTTAGAAGATGGGTAACCTTGTTGGTGGTTCTCGGAGTCCATAAAAGCTAGATATCAGGGAAGAAACAGATGATCTCTATGACATCTTCAATAAGGATGGTTGAAAGCTCAGTGGAGGAGCAATGGTTCATCACATTTGAGCAATCTCCTTCAATGTCTATGGAGGAGTATCCCGATTGAGAGAATGAAAGATCGACCCTTTTTGGGGCATAGAGGCTTCAGCAACTCTGGGTTAGGGATGATGTTCAGAAAAATAGTGGCCACACAAACAGGGCAACCATCGGAATTGCAAAGGATGAATCCACCACCTACTTGATTGAGAGAATTAAAATAGACAGCATCGAGATTAAGCTTAAATCGACCATTGGAAGGAGCTGACCATGTTGAAAGTATAGTAGAGGAAGGCAGAGAGGATCCTTGGGAAATAGCATGACAATGTGAATTAAGCAGTAGCCAGACTCTTGCTTATCCAAACTTCTGATCCCAATGAATCAAGTAGTACAAGAAATGCATCTGCTGGCCATATCTTTAGAAAAATTTCAGAGCTGAAAGATCCGGATGAAATGTATCCCAAGAAAATTGTGTTACTTCATCTGCACTGGTTCGTACACTAAAGTCAAAGAGATTACACAATTATGATAGACCACTTCCAAGAGTTTTTTCGAGAGGGATTCGTGACAAACATAAAAAAGTAGTCCGTTGTACTGCCAATAGGTACTGGAAAAGTATGTGATCTTTTAGCCCTGTTGAGTTTTGCAGTTGATCATTAGACAGCACTGTTCCAGAATACAGAATAGGCCTTAGATGAGTCCTAGAAGTAAAGGAGATTTTGAACCCTTCGAAAGCGTCAAATTTGACCTTCCTCAAATGGATGGATCTGTGATTCATTCTAGAACCAAGCACAGAGAAATGGGGTAGTTACATATACAAACCAAACAAACTACTCTACCAAACAAAGCTGGAAAAGATTCCCTTGATGAACTATGGCGTCCCCACAAATTGGTTCAAGACGACGCCATAGTACACATCCTCAATAATCATAGTCAGGGATGACATTTCCCATAATCAATCACTAAACGAGTTGTCTGCAACTTGTTTTATCACCAATAGTCCTTACAGGAGCATGAACCCCCAACAAAATGATGAAAACGATTACGGTCCCTAAGAACAATCTTCCGGTCATATATCCTTGATATAAGCTTAAAGGCCAAATGACAGTCATCACAAACTCGAAGATTCTTAACAATTCGGATAGGGGATCTTGGAGCTGTGCTAAGAAGCGCAAAAGCAACAGCTATCTTCTCACTGTGAACAGCCAATGCTTTCTCTTTCTCTTGCTCATCAAAATCTTGCAACACTGAGGCTGTTAGAGGTACATATCCAGTATTTTTCAATCTATTGGACATCTCGGCTAACATTTGGTAGATCTCTACAGATTGTGGGTGTGATTTATCAGCGGCAACAAATTCATGGACTGCATTATCAACCTCAACTGAACTGCTACCTGGGGCCTTCTGTATGTTAATGTCTTTCATCATTCTCCTAATATTCACGACCTTGTCCCACTTCTTGGCTTGGGAATATATGTTTGACAAAAGTACATAATTTCCATCTACATGAGGCTCCAGTTCAAGAAGATTCACTGTAGCTTCTTCTGCAAGTTCAACATTCTTGTAGATTCTACAAGCTCCAAGAAAAGCTCTCCAGGCAATGGCATCTGGTGCAATAGGCATACTTCTAATGAGTTCTCTAGCCTCTTGAAGTCGCCCTGCTCTTCCCAAAATGTCAACCATACATCCATAATGTTCAAGTTTAGGAGTGACACCGTAACCATCATTCATGGACTTGAAGTATATCCACCCCTTATCAACCAAACCAATGTGACTGCATGCACTCAACACCCCTATAAAGGTAACATCATTGGGCTTTATTTCTTCAGATATCATCCTGGAGAAATGATCGAGAGCTAACTCACCTAGTCCGTGGTTTGCAAGTCCCATGATCATAGCACTCCAAGCAAACACATCCCTCTTATTCATCTGATTGAAAACTCTCATTGAACTATCAATGTCCCCACACTTCCCATACATATCTACAAGAGCTGTCCCTAGCTTGAGATCTATTTCAATCCTATTTCTCTCTATGCACTCATGAACCATCTTGCCCATACCTAAGGCACCCACATCACCACAAGCACACAATACACTTACCATAGTAATCTTATCGGGCACTATATTTGCTACTTGCATCTCATGAAAAAGCCTCAAAGCCTCATTTGATTGCCTGCTCTTGGCATAGGCAGCAATTATTGAACTCCAAGAAACTACATCCTTTTCACAAGTTCTATCAAACAACTTCTTTGCAACCCCCAATTCACCACGCGAAGCGTACCCATGAATCATGGTATTCCAAGAAACCAAGTCCTTGTCAGGCATCTTATCAAACAGTTCTTGAGCTGAACTTATCTCCCCTACACGAACATACTCAGCTAGCAGGACATTATATGAAACTAAATCCGGGTCAGTCATTTCATCGAAAACGTTATGTGCAACATCTATATGGCCAAATTTAGCGTACATTTCAATAAGTGCAGTTTGTATAAACAAATCACAACCAAACCCAAGTTTTAACACTTGGGTATGTATTGTTCGACCATTTGAACAGTCAGTGGATCTCCCACATGCTTGAAGAACTAGAGAAAGGCTAAAACTATCGACGAATATGCCTTGTTGAAGACGCATTTGGACAAAAAGGGACAAAGACTCATTAGGATTTTGGGAATTCAAGTAAGCCCTGATCATGGTGTTCCAAATGAAGGTGTCCGGCAAGGAAATTGCGTCGAACAGAGAGCGGGCGTAAGGTAACTCAGTGGATGAAGAAGAAGATGATGAAAAGATTCGACGCAAGAGCTTGGCAACGATGAAATTGTTGCGGTCCAGCGAGGTTTTGATGATGAATGAGTGAATTTGGAGGAGGTGAACCAGCTTGGTGGAGTCTTGGATCACAGACATCACCTTCTGTTCTATGGTTTTGGCGTGAGAGTTGAGAAGTACAGACCAGACTCGCATTGCTTCTTGTTACTACATTATTGCAACTTAAACGTCTTTAATTTTAACCAAAAAAAAAACACTTAAACGTCTTTAATTTGTTCTAGTTCTTCTCACAATTGAGAACAGAATTGACTCCTTTTATTGATAACTATATTTTTACTGTTGAACGTTTATGCAGTTACGTAGTCTATCCAATAAATTGACATAAATATCTTTTTATTTGTGGTTTCCAATATTCTTTTAGCTTGGTTTTGAATCTCTTTGGCTAAAATATTAGAGCATAATGTTAATTCAAGATAGTGTTAATATATATATATATATATATATAATTTACAAATATGTTATTAATCATCAGTCGATTATTACCTAAATATTTATGCATGTTCAATAGTAACAGGTCAAGTATTAGTTTCAGTCTAAATCATATAAAACAAGACCGAAAGCAAATCAATAAAAAGTTACAAAATATAAATCACACAGAATGAGAATGGGAGCAAGAGCATGCAGCATTTGTTTAGAAAAATTGTGTAATTTAATTCCAACCATCTTAAAACTGTTCTTAATATAAAATATCACATGGATGAGACATAGTTCTGAATTTTTTATTAAATTATTATTATTTTTCATGTATATGAATATGGTTTTACAAGTTGTCCCTCAAAATCAAGAGCTGAGAAAACCTACTAGGACCAGCATAGTTTCCTAATATTATTTTAGAACTTTTTGTGTGTGTGTGTGTGTGTGTGTTTGATCATTGATGAAGTGTAATATTTTTGAAGAATGTACTAGCAAAATTCAAATTACGTGGAAAAGGACGAACTTGTGGGGTTTAGCTGACAATTGAATCGATACACTATTACATTAATTTTTTATTTTTTATTTTTAAAACATGTGTATCGGCTTTATAACACAAACATCATTTAAGTTAAAAGTGTAGTTCAAAAACGAGACCTCATGGATTTATCTTTCGCGTCCCTTCCAACGCCGCTATATCCCTGAGTCCTAACCAAATATCTAAAAAATACATTTGTTAATATATATAGATGTCAAAAAACTGTTGTTTCTTAAATATTAGATAGTTTTTGGCAACACATTATATGAAGTATTCTTCATAAATATTTTTTTTTTAAAAATTATTTAACATATCTTTTATAAATGAAAACATGGGATTTTTTTATTTTTTATTTTTTAGTAATTATTAGTTTGGTTTTGAGGTAGTGAATATTAATTCTTCATAATCATAATTAGATCCAAACGGTAATCATCCATTATCAGGTTCACTTGCATGACAGAGAATCAAAAAAGATAAAAAGAAAAAGAAGGATGGGCCGTGACGCTAGAAGGGATTTGTTTCACTTTTTCTCCTTTTATGTTTTCTTCACAAGTAAGCTGATCTTGATGCTCTCATGAATGAAGAGGTTAGTTCCTACCCTTTCTGTAAATAGACTAATATGACCCCTATGGTATTCTTTTTTATGATATTTATCATAACAAAAAAAAATATTACCCATTTAGTAGAAAATTTAGAAAGAAATCGGATTAAAACTGCCAATATTTCATTATAGAATATTTGTTTTAAATAGTTGGGTGGTGTTACAGAAAATTGGTTAAAAAAAAAATAAATAAATAAAAAACTATCAAGTTGCATCCAAAGCATATTTGTATGTGCGCCAATAAATTATACAATTTTCATAGAAGGTGTTCCCTAGTTACTTCGATTAAAAGTAATACTAGCAAGGGCAATTGAGGCATTCTAAGGAAGATACATCTAATTTATAAATGTGCTGAGATCCAATGAATACAAAAACTGTGGTATCACATCTTTTTATAAAGCCAAGAATTTCTTCCTTGATGTTCTCAAACTGATTTCATACATATATACTACTTCTACTTGATGTGATGAGTGTGCCAAGTTCCAGTTCCAAATTCTAATAGGGGTCCCTGCAAAATTAAAGCTCCAGAACAACAATGTCCTCTGCTAATTCACTAAAGCTCCTGCTTGCTCTGATCTGTTTGTCAGCAGTTGTACGAAAATCTGGTAAATTTTCAAGAGCATGTTGATTATATTTTTACTTATTGAATGAATTTGGTCTTCATTAATGCTTGATCCAAGATGATCGATCCTTACAGTGCGAAATTCATTAATATGGATGTGTTAAGCTTTTAAAAATCCATAATGTCTCAGGGAATTTAGATCATTACGATAATAGAAAAGCCAGCTGTCATATAACAAGAACATAAAATGATTCCATTGATTTTTAGTTAGTTGTTTGATTCAAAGTCTCATTCCATCTCAATACTTGTTGAGAAAGAAATGGAGTTCTGCTTCCGTGTTATTGTTGAATTGTTTTTTATTTGTACGTTTTTTTCATATCAGATAAATCCGGGATACTCTTCTTCAACATGTTTTTGTTTGTTAATCTTTTTCTATAATGATGGATTCACGTACATAATTTGCCTTCCATCTTTTTAATTGTTGGTTGATGAATGGTAGATGGGCAGTTTGAGGAGTGGTGCATAGCTGACGAGCAGACACCAGATGAGGATCTGCAAACAGCTCTTGACTGGGCTTGTGGGAATGGTGCTGATTGTAGCAAGATACAAGTGAACAAGGCTTGCTATCTGCCAAACACTCTCAAGGACCACGCCTCGTATGCATTCAACAGCTACTATCAGAAACTCAAGCACAAAGGAGCAACTTGTTACTTCAGTGCTGCTGCAATCATCACTGCTCTTGACCCAAGTAAGAGTTAGTAATTCCCAATTAACTCTTTTTCCATATATGCATCTGCATTGCTCAACCAAAAATCATATCAAGGAAAGTAAATTATACTATATCATAATTAGTATATACCTTCATTTTCTAACATGTATAGGTCTCTAGTATATAACCTTTTCCAGATGCCGGGAATTTGCTTCTGTATCAAGCAATGTGTGACCCGGGAAACTTGGGGATGCACCAAATTAAGGGCAAGTCCATGTGCCTAAAAGTATAGCCCATGTGCGAATATATATATATATATATATATATATATATATATATATATATATATATTTTGAATTTATACTTGATTTTGAAGAATATGCTCAAAGATTTATCTGCAGTGAAAAGAAATCAAGCTTAGTGTCACGGACTTGAACCTTTTCAAGCTCTCGTGCGACCTTAGACACTTTCAAGCCCCCTTGAAGCGCTAAGTCAGCCTACCCGGGTGTGCTAGCTTAGTGAAGACTAAGGCTAGACAAGTGTTTTGCTTACTTGGGTGTGTAGGAAGAGGTTAGGCAAGTGAGCAAGAGAGTTTGGGAATGTATACAACTTGTATTACTTGAGAGGAGAGATTACAACTTGGTTGCTTGGTAAGGAGCAAATGAACTCCCACCTCCTATTTATAGGCCTTTGGCCTTACAAGAACATTCTAGATGTGTACAAATGTGTGGCCTAGATTTAGTATCTAGAATCCTCCAGAAATATCTACACAACTCTAGAACTATCTACTATGAACAAGACAAGTCTAGAGAATTATAGAGAATTCTATACAACTCTAGACAAGTCTAGAAAAGGCTAGACAACTCCACACTAATCTAGAAAATTCCGGAAAGTTCCATACTTGTGTAGAGAAGTCTAGAAAGCTCTAGTCCATGCAGGCTCCATGTCATCGTCTGTTGGGCGCCTGCGTGGCAGAGCCTCTTGGTAGCGGGGTGTGACATTAGGCTATGGAAGGAACACAAAATTTTAGCAAACACCACCATATATTGTTCTGTTGTCCTGAGGTGGGTAGTATGGAATAGCTAGTACATTTCATTAGGTTCTCACAGCAGCATTTAGAAGTTTCTTCATCAAATAAGATAGCAAGTCTCCAACCTTGTTCAAATAGTTGAAGTACAAATAGACTCCAATCCGAACAGGCTTGTATGAATTGGCCATTTAGAATAGTTGAATCAGGACAAATAATTTTCATCCCATTTATTTAATTAATATATTAAATATGTGAGAATATCATGAGTTTTGGTCATCTCATTTGGATACAATTTTTGCAGAAAACCATTTTAAAAAGTATTGGCCAGAAGTTAAATTGATGTATGATAATTATAATATTGAAAAAATTTCGAAACCAGTTCAAGGTTAGCACACACTTAATTCACCAACTAGTGCATATTTATATAAGGTGGGATGGGATGGTCAATTCTTTTTGTAATGCGAGCATGAGTACTGTACTGGGAACCAAAACAGAGTGAATAAAATATAATATATATTGGAGGTGGAACTAAATGAAGTCAAAAATCCTTTCAACTCTCAAGTACCATAAAATATGTGAGACTGGTTAAAGGCTTCATGAGTCTTGCATTAGCCGGAGACAAAATGCTAATTTCATCTCAAACAAACTACATAAGAGGAAGTACACATTTTTTATAATCGTCTTATGATTTTAATACATCTGACCAAAAAAACAAACATTGTGACTCTTCTTTTTGTTTGACGACAGGTCATGGTTCATGCAAGTTTGAGGATCTTTCCTGAATCGAAAGCATCGAGGATACCGCCCTATTTCTTCCTTGTAGTTTTGAGGAATTTCTTTTCTTGAAAGAGTTTCCCAGGAAAATATTGTCCCAACTTTGTTACTACTATGAAATTCCCTAATAACAGTGCAATTAGCTCTTTGATGTTATGTATGTGTATATAATATATAATATATATATATACATACATTATAAAGCGATGGTTTTGAAGGGAGAGATTTCGACATTAAAAGATGGGCATATGATGCATATCCCATGGGCTGGGCCGTCAACACCATAACCTTCATTACTACGGGCGTAGATTGGTTCGTATACACTATGGTTATATTTTCAACACTCCCTCTACATTTTTGCACAAGTTAAACGATGTGGCTCCTATCTAGATAAACACCACTTAAACTAAAAATAATAATTATAAACATTAATGCACAACAGTTAGTTAAACTAACACAAATGATACCCCCACATTCGTTCAAAAATTCATGGGACATTGTATCATTTATTAGACTATTATCAATTATTATTATTATTTTAAGGATTGTAGAAAGTATTTGAAATTATCCCTAACAAATGGAAATCTTCACTTCTTTTTTTTTTTTTTTTTGACAAAATTTAAGATTTATGAGAAAATAAATATATATTTTTTATAATCTTGGTAATTGCAACTTCATGTTTTTGATGGTATTTTTATTAATTTCATGCCTTAAAACAAAGTGAAATTCAAAAATTTACGTTTTCAAATCAAACCAACTAAATGGATTTAAAACTCTAGTTATTAAGTATGAAAATTTTTACATTAATATAAATGCATGAGCTAGAGAAGTAGCAAAAACCATCTCTTATATTATCAATATTTTATAAAATATGTATTTCAATATATTATTACATTATATTTGTCTAAGATCACATACAAATTTGAGAGAGTAAACATTAAATAAAAAAAATATTACAAAAGATTCACATTACAGAAGAAAAGTCACTTAAACAAAGAATGACGTGATGTTTATTTGGTTGATCACGGAACGCCTTTACCATAAAGAGGAATTTATCAAGCCTGTTACCTTTGGCACTTGTCTGGTTCATAGGTGTGAGTACTACTGCAAGGAATGTATGAATTGTACTTCCTCCCCGGCCCTGGATATCTCAATAGTCTTGCTCTTGGAAAATGTACTCGACTTAATGCTCACAGAAAACTCTTACAATGTTTCAAATAAACTTCCAGTTCCTTATTAGGCTAAGGAGCTTACAATGAATGAATAAGATCTATTCACATTTCTACCATATAGGTCAGAATCCTAAAATTTCGTTTTAGAGTTCTTAAAAAAATAATCTATACCAAGTCCAGAGAATTATATATAAATATCTACAAGTTTAGATGTCTCTACGCCACTTTAGATAATTTTGGATAATCTATATGTGTGAAAAAGTTTAAAATGTTCCGCCTATAATGCTAGGTTTGGTTGGATGGAAGGATTGAGGGAGGATGGATGTATAAATATTTTTGTGTTTGGTTGGAGGGAAGGGAAGAGAGGGAGGAAACAAGGAGGGATGAAGCTAGCATCCCTCCTTCCTTTATGCTTCCTATCCCCCCACTTTTGAGGAAAGAAAGGAGAGAGAGAAAACATAACTACCTAAAAATTTGTAATTTACAAATGTAACCTTTTCAAAAAAATTGAAATAAATATCTATCTTTTTATAATTTTATATAAAAGGGCGTATTGGTAAAAATAATATAAGAACCTTCCTTCCCTTCCTTCCAACCAAATAAGAAAAAAGTATCACTCAATTCATATTTTCTACTATCCATTCCATTCAACCAAACACAAAATGGGAAAGACACCATCCCTTCCCTATGGATCGATATCTCATCCATCCCTCCCCCTATCTCTTCCATCCATTTTTTCATCTCTTCAATCAAACGAAGCATAAAGGCTCTAATGCTTTGTTTAGTTAGAGGGAAGGATTAAGGATGGATGGATGAGAAGAGGGATGGATGAAGCCTTTCATGTTTGGTGGAAGGGAAGAAAAGGAGGAAGCAAGGAGGAACATTCCTCATTTCTTGATATTTTTCTATCCGTTCAATTTTGGGGGAAGAGATGGGAGAGAAAGTGAATAACTAACTAAAAATATACAATTTATAATTTTAACCTTTTCAAAAAAATTCAAATAAATATATACCTTTTATTATTTTATACAGTGAAGGTATATTTCTAAAAAAATATAAAAATTCTCTTTCCTTTCCTTGCAACCAAACAAAAAAAGTATGACCCCATCCGTTCTTTCTACCATCCATTCCATTCAACTAAACAAAAATTGGGAGAGACGTCTTCCCTACACTAGGGATTCCTCATCCCTCCCCTCCCTACCTCTTCCATCCATTTTTTCATCCCCAACCAAACGGAGCATAAGTCATTGTTCACTTGTTCGTTTGCATGGCATAACCTTACACTATGAAGTGTGACACTTAGCTTATTTTGCTAACTTGTAAGTTTGAATTTATTTTTCACATGGTAATATATGTGAAAGACAAATGGAATGGAAATTCACGTGAAAGTTTCTTTATAATAATAATGCTTTTTTTAATTATAAGAATAACTCAAAATTTTCACCATGTGCTAAATTTTAAACTAATCCAATAATAATACTAAGGGTGCTTACAATTCGGTTTAAACTGATTTAAAAGTTTTTTGAAACCAACACATTCTTAACGGTTTTAGAAAATCTATAACCAAACCAAACCATTTGACTAAAGGAACTGAACCAAACTAAACCAAACTGTGAAACACCGGTTCAGTTCGGTTCGATTCCAAGTTCCTCTGTTTTTTTTTTTTTTTTATTACAAAAATATTCATATTTCAAAATCCAAACGTTCAACAATAAACCAAGTTAACTAACACATTTACTTTTAGAACATAAGTTAATACATTCAAAATAGCTAATATATTCATTCTTCGCCACTTCTGGAACTAAAGTGTATTTGTGAACACCTTCAGAACTGTAATACCCCTAGTTTCCAAAAGAATAGATTGGGAATTTAATTTTGATAATTTTGATTTTTATTGCATTTTTAATATGTGAGCTATGTGTTTTGGTTTGTTTAATGGATTAAGTGTGTATTTATTTTTAAATTAATGATTTACTTAAATTTGTTTTAATTAATTACTGGGATAATTTGATTGAGTTAATTGTTTTATTTAAATTATTTAGTTGATTTTTATTATTTTTTTTTTTAGTTAATTGGTGTGTATTTGATTTAATTATTTACGTGTATTAGTTGATTGTTATTAATTACTGTAATTACGTAATTGTTTAATATAGTTAATTCACGATTTATGGGAGCTGGTGTATCGTGACTTAGGGTTTTAGGTGTCAAGATGTAGCCGCCTTGTTAATTTGCCTATTAAGATGTTTTATTCTTAAAATACAACTAGAATTAGGGTTTAGGGTTTATAAGTCTATAAATATACATATGTACATTCTACCTAAGGTTGCAAACAAATAAAATTCCCGGAGAAACAGAGGGAGGAGTTAGAAAGAAACGCAGAGTAACCTTAGTTGATTATTAAAGCAGTTCAAAGAGGAAGGCACGGGGTGTTTCTGGGTTAAACCAAAGCATTGGAGTAGCAGACTTGCAGTTAGGACACAAAACGTATCTTACAAAAACTGTGGAATTAGAGTTTCAAATCTGAAACTTAAAGGCAAGTTTCTGATCTTCTCTTTCCCAGGAATTTGTGTTCTATGCATGCTTAGTTACACTCCAAGAATTAAAGTAAGACTTAATTACATCATTTATACATGTTGAAACAGTTTCTAACATCTTTGAATTTAATCTGTTTAGCAGTAGTTTGCAAGTTCAATTTAAAACTCTGATTGTCGTTCTTCTATAAACTGATGTTTATTTCCATTCTTGTTCATATAACTCTATCTTGTGATTAATCTGGGATAAGGATAGGACTTTAAAATCTGTAAAAACTGTTTTTAAAGACTGAAACCGCCGGAGTCAAAAATGACAGATGCAGAACAAGCCAGGGCTCTTAGGGGTGAGAGCAGGCTCCAAAAATGGAGGGAGCCTGCTCCCAAAACACTAGAGCCGGCTTTCTAGGGGTGAGAGCCGGCTCCCACCCATCTAGAGCCAGCTCCCAAGGAAGGGGAACCGGCTCTCCTAGTTTGGAGAAGGCTCTGTGAAACTTAGAGCCTTCTCTTTCTCTTAATGGTGCGTAAAATTGAAATTTTATATTCTGTTTGGCTGAGTCTGAGTTTCTGGAATGGTTTAAAGGCTGTTTTAGTGATGTAATACACTGCTTAAGATATATGAAATAATTAAGAAGAAAGCTTACATTCAGAATCTAGGACATAATTAACATCAGTTTGATCGAAGGTCTGTATGTGGTTAAGGGAGCAACTGACTTGTGTTGCAAACTGATTTGCAATTTGATTTCTTTGCATGATCTTAAGTTTTAATCATGTTCTGTAGTTGAGTTATGAGCATTATGTTATTTAAATACATATATGCTTTGTTGGGATTGATTAATAATTTAAATCTGTTATACCTCTCATTTGTTATAACACTATTTGGAGGAAATTTGATGCCTTTGCATGTTCTTAGGTTTGGAATCATGTTTTGCAGCTCTGTTATAAGCATGTTATTATTTAATAATGTGTATGCTTGGTTGGAATAGACTGATGTTTAAGTCTGTACATAAATGTATCAATTATAGTACTGTTTAGATAAGTAAGTTTCATAAACCTGTTTTATTAAACTTAATGGATTGAAACTTGGGTTCTAAATCTTTCAGTGGAGGCATGACTTAGTTACACCCATGTTTAACTATACTTATGTTGGACCAAATTTATATACACTTGCTACGGAACTACATCAATTTATGGACAAGTTGAAGAATGTAAATGCTTGGATTATTTTAGCAGTTTACATTATTAGAATGTTATTGTTAGGCTTTATAATGAATGTTTAATATTGATATATATGTATTAGATTATAATGATGCATATTTTGGAGAATGGTTGTTAAATACATAGTATTATTTGTAAACTATGTTATTTGGAGGGTTGTATGCACCGGTATGGGACGGTGGCATACTAGGGACGGATTAATTAAAATACTAACTCCTACCTATTTTGGAATAAGTTGGATTAACTATAAAAGTTAAGTTCTACTTATATGGATATATATGCACCGGTATGGGACGGTGGCATATTAGGGATGGCTTAGTTTAAAAACACTAAGACCTACCTATTCTGAAATAAGATGAATTAACTACAAAAGTTAAGTCCTACTTATAACTTTGTGTCAGGTCAATAAAATTTTTGAATGACACACCTTGAATGGACTTTATATATTTATGTTATGGTGCCATAGTATGAGCTTGAGTTTCAGGACCATGGTTAGGGTGCGTATATCGTCTAGGATGGATAACTAGATAGTGGTTTTGTTCACTGGTAGGTCTAGATACACATGACCACATTACGTGCGATTTGCATGGTATCTCTACTCAGGCTGAGACATACCTATTGGACTAGTGAGCGTCCTATAGTGTGTAATATATACATATATGAACTATTCTAGATATTGTTGAGTTTATCTAAAATGTATCTGCGTATCGGATTCCTGTTTGGATCGTAATAGATCAGGACTTACATGTGGGCCTGATCCACTCTATTATTTTTCAGGTGTTCGACAGTTCCAGGCTTGGAGCTTGATCGTGTTGATGCAGATACAGACACTCACTCTTCCGGTTACATAGGATTTCCCTTCTACTTTAATTTTAGATTTTAATTCTGTAAATTTATTCAAGGATTTGGGATTAGGGTCTACTAGGTGGATTCCCGAGTTGTACGGTTTTAAATTATATTAATTTATTATTTCAAGTTTGAGAATTCTTATTTTAGATTTCTTTCAGCGTATTATTAGTTTATTTTTAATTCAGTTTTTATTTTCTGCTTGTTTACATATTAATTGTTTGGTATCCCTCGGATCTGTGCTCGGACTTGATTAGTCGTGGCTCTAGAATCGAGGAGTATCACAAGAACTGCTAATAATCTAATACACTTAGAACTATTAATTCAATTAGTAAACACCTTCAGAATTGCCAGAAGCCTAATACATTTAGAACTATTAATTGAACCAACACCACAATTCAAAAAAACAACATTCCGCCACTGTAGAATTATATTATATTATATGTACAATTTAATATATATATGTGTGTGTGTGTGTGTGTGTGTGTAAAACTTAGCGGTTCGGTTTGTTCTGGTTTGATTTTAAATAACCTCAAATCATGACTAAACCAATACCGAACCATTAGTAAACTGAATCAAATTGTCCAATCCGATTCGATTCAATTTGAATTTTCGATTTCAGTAAATTTTTGTACACCTCTAAACGAGACGAGGTAAAAATGGTAGTTCTAACTGCATCACATGAGGTCATTGATTTAACCCTCTTTCTTAAACTCTTGTTATATGTATATATGGGAGAGGAGTAATTGCATATTTCACATATATATATATAGTAAAGTGCAAAATAGTCCCTTATAATATGTGAAATATGCAATTACTCCCTTATTGTTCGAAAAAAAACCCTTGTTTTCAATTTGTGCAAATAAGGACAAATCATAATTTTGGTGGTAAAATTACTAAATTAACCTTACTTTATCATTACCAATAAAAAAGTAAAAAAGGGTAAAAGATAAAATGTCAAAATTACCCTTAAAGTCATAACATAACAGCATAAGTATTTTAAATCAAAGCTAATTCATCTCATAACAATTTGTGTCCAAGCATATTCATTTATTTAATTATTATTATTATATGAGAAGAGATATTATTAGTAGAGACAGAGAAATTTTAGAGAGAGAAAAAAAGTAGAAAGAGAGATAATACTGGCCACCACAAAAAAATAATTTAGAGAAAAAAAATAAGTTAGAGAGAGAATATCCACGGTGACATATATATATATATATATATATATATATATATTTCTTAGAAAGATAGATTGGTATTGAAGCACATCCAAACAAGTCCATTCAAATATATACAAAATTAGTAAAGGTGTCCATTCAAATATATACAAAATTAGTAAAGGTATTCTTGTCACACAAAAAAGACGCTTTTGGATTTTTTTTTTAAAAAATGACATCACTAACTGTTTTTTATCAACGAATCTATTCAATATGGGACAAATTGCTCAAAATATAAATAATATAAGAAGTTATATGCATACACATGACGCAATAATAAACTGACAAGTGTCTTTATATTTAAAATAATAAAAAATAAATAATTTTTAGCTATATGAGGTAAATCCAAATAAATCTGAATTACATTCTAACCCAGTTTAGTATTGTAGAATTACTTTTTATTTAGTTTTGTATATCTAAACTAGACTATATATAACATGCAAAAGTATATATTTTATTTATTAGAATTTGATTCGGATTCATTTAGGTTTATTTGGATAGCTATCAAATTATTTATTTTTTAATATTTTAAATATAAGGACATTTATTAATTTAACATTAGGCCACATAGTATAAATTTTTTACTCATTTAGGCAAGTCTTGTCCATATATATATATATATATATATAGATATATATCATTCGATTCATTTGGTCGAGAGTACGAGTGTGTGTGTATAAATATGTCTATATCGGCCAAATGATAAGCGCAATGGGTACTTGTGCCCCTTCCTCAGTAGTCAGTACCAACTCGAAAGTTCACTCTCGCATTTATCCCATGCCATGGAGGACGACTGACCCACGCCAGCTATACCAACATTTTTCGAGTAATAAATTTGGAGATGGCGGTGGAAGAAAGAAAGATAAGAAAAGCATTAATAGAGAAGATAGAGGATTGTTATCATATCCATAGCACATGAGAGATAACCATCCTCAAAGTGACACATCAACCTTACAAAAATAAAAAAAAATAAAAAAACCGTTTCATTTTATTTGGGAATCGGGATATCCTCAAGTTTTATTTTCAGTGGCACAACATGCTTTCACCTAATGAGACTATATTAATTTCAAGTCGACAAAGACAAAAAAATAAAATTCAAGTCGATAATTCCTGTTAGTTTCACCTAACTTTATCATAGAAATTAGAATGGATTTATCTAAAAAGTTCACACAGAGAGAAGTAATTTCCAAAGGAAAAATATATATATATATAGTGAAGTGAATCTTTTCTTGTATATAGTAGCCTCAATTCTCAAATAGGCAAAAAAAAATTTTTTTTTGGGAAATAGGCAAAACTAACTTCTCAAATTTAAAGAAAGGATTACCATGTTCTACTTTTGAAAGTGTACCTTTTAATCCTCAATTATATAATTAAGGCATTTGCAAAAGAAGTGAATAGTCTGTTACACTATATAAATATAGTAGTACGTGGCCGCACATCAACACTAGATTTACTCAGAGACAAAAAAAAATAAAAAAATAAAAAAATAAATTAATGCACCTAAAGTATCAATATATCAATAATAATTAGTAGTCACTTATTAATTAAACACTAATACTGAATAATTTAACTAGTGAAATAAATGTAATTTTACTTATATAACAAAATATAGTTGATTGTCAAATACACCTTAATATCATGACACGGCAATATGCAATGATGTCCATCACTTTACAAATACTATGGAGCATCAAAACGTGGTCACTTTAATTAATTTATAGCCAGCACTTTAGCCATATCTTTTGATGTTCTGCTTCAAGTTTTCCAGCGCACCACACTCACACTTGATAACCAAACCCACTAGGTGTACTATGATGGGTCAACATAAATTCCACACCTTCCCTCAATTAGTATATTTAAGGCACTCCTCACCCTTACCCCTTCCTCGGGACAACAAATCATCGCCCTTTCCTAGAAGAAAAAGCAGGCTAGCCTACACCTAATTCTTACTTAAGCTTTCTTTTCCCACAGAATCCTTAAATGCTTCTCCAGATGTCAGATTACTTCCATTTAATGCTGTATTATGTTCCATTTAATGCCCATAATTATTAAGGTAAGGTGTCCCAATGTTTAACACTTTACACACATACATTGTCTATACGCTCATGCCTAGATAAGATACTGTATACTATACTGTTATACTGTATGTAACATTTTTTTAATTAGGCCAAGGGGTACGTATACAGTGTCCGGTAGAGCCACTAAGTTGTGCCACCTGGCAATCGGACACGTTACACCAAAGCTCTACCACCAGTTTTATCAAAAAACAAAAAAAAAACGCTCTACCACCAGATAGATATTTGGAGTTTAAATAAATCAAACCAAAAAACACAAAACTAAAATATGAAAATATTTTTAAAAAATGTATTGTGGGTGTCTATTTAAGTAGTGGGAATTGGGAATTGTTTTTAAGTACTGGAGTTTGGTGCGAGTGTGAGCCCTGTTTGAGTGTTTGTTGGTAGAGCTAGTACTAGTATTTGTAAAGATGAGCTATCTTGGTGTTGGGGTGAGTCCGGGGAATGTTCCAGTGTATCATGGGAGTAACTTGAAAGTAATTGATCGGAGGGTGAGGCTTGCGGAGTTGGTTTTGAGGTGTGTGATCTGTGGTTTAGGTGTTGTTGCAGCTGTTCTTGTGGGTTCTGATACCCAAGTCAAGGAGATCTTTACCATCCAGAAAAAAGCTAAATTCACAGACATGAAAGCCCTTGTGTAAGATCTTCAAACACCCCCCTTTCCTCATCTTTAGATATTTATATTATTTATGTTTATACGTATGTGTTGGATGATCATATATATATATTGGCAGGTTTTTGGTGATAGCCAATGGGTTAGCTGCTGCCTACTCACTGGTTCAAGGGTTGAGATGTGTTGTGAGCATGGTTAGAGGAAGTGTGCTCTTCAACAAGCCCTTGGCTTGGGCTATTTTCTCTGGTGATCAGGTATATATATGTGTGTGTGTGTGTGTGTGTGTGTGTGTGTGTGGACTATATTATATAATGCTGCTTCAACATGTCCATCATCATAATCCGGCCATCTGATTATGAAGCTGTTCAGCACATGAGAGTTCTTTCTGGGGATTGAAGTGGGGAAGGGAACAGGGGAGGATTTGGCTTTTCTGTGGTTTAATCAATTAGTATGTGATAGATAGATAGGTTTCAGTACTTTTGATTAATTTCACATGTAGCTGAAAATAGTTTGGGAATGTGGATCTAGACTCTAAATGGTTTGAATTTCATCTAATCATGCTTGTTACCAGTAATAAAACCTATTATGAATCCCAAAAATTATTACCCTGAAGCTCATTGCATGCGTGCCACGTGAGAAAGAGCGCATTGAAGATGCAGTAGTTGATCTGATTCCTAACACTATTTATTGTGCTCCAGCGAGTGCAGTACTCTCTCTTGCATCACTACTAGTACTATTTTTTTATATTTTTATTTTATAGTAATGCTGTCAATAGTAGTCATGACAACTTGCGCTCCACATTTAACCATTTGAAACTATTTTTTTTTTTTCTTCAAATTTGGGAAAAATCAAATGAATTATTTAATTTATTTGTCAATCTAGCGGTTAAATGTGGAGAGTTCATGTCTCTTCTCATGGAGAATGTATTAAGCTACATTGAACGCACCGTGCAGCGGGGTGCTCATCTGAGCCGCACGTGTTATGTATGTACAGCTCGGATGAGCCGGTGCACCGTGCACCCGGCACACCCAACCGAATATCTATTCCTTGTCACGAGTGAGCGAGCTTTCTTAATAGCATTACTTATATTTTTATGGAGAGGAAGTCTATCATGAGGGCACTTCCGCTGAGCTCGACCTTTAGTAGCCGTTGGATTCAGGCTGTAACATCAGTTCCTTGATCAACAAGAGTGCCCTCATTATATTTTTCTTTCGATCCATATATCACCATTCAGGCTGTGGAAGTTCAGGGCTATAAAAAGAAGGCCGTAGCATTATTTGATTTTGAGGAAATAATGGCTGCACATATTAGGCTCTACTAGGACGGTAGGACGGTAGGACCCAGTCTGGTCTTCAAATATGCTCCATTCTGAAGAGGTACGGATTTGTAAATAAAACATATTTATGCTCTCCACCCAACCCCAGTACCCCACCCTGTTAACTAGCAGTAATTGAGTCCTTTAGTCCTGAGAGTATCTTGATTAATTTGGCCGGTGATGTGAATGTGATACTACTCCAAAGACGCCGAATACATTGATTTCAGACATTTTATTGGTGAAGCAATTAACTCAGAACTAGGTTTGTGCTTAATTGGTTTATAGCGGCCTAAACAAATTTTTTTTTTTTAATCTCTTAACCATTTTAATACGTCTCTCTTTCGATTTCATTTAGTCTATAAAAACGTCAAGAGTAAGATTAAGAATCAGAAGGAATAATTGAAATATCTTCTTTTCTTTTTTCCTCCAAACAACAAGAATACTAAACCTCCTTAATGTCATTACCATGTTTTGAATTCTCTTAACTCAATGCCTATCAAAAAGTTAAAATAAATAAATAAATTCTCTTATTCAATGAACTTGGCTGTCCCCACTAGAAATCCTGGTCAGTTGTCAAAAAGCTTAATTAACTAGATGTAATTGCAGGGCTGCCCATTTGATCAACACACTTAAATTCAGTATAATTTATATTCAGCATGATTAGAGTTAGCATTTAAATATTATTGACATTTTATGATGATCATAATAATATAATGCTTCTAGATAAACTCATTTGTGTGCAGTTGATGGCGTACATGACATTGGCTGCTGTGGCTACTGCTGCACAGTCCGCAGTGTTTGCTAAGTTTGGGGAGACAGAGTTGCAGTGGATGAAGATATGCGATATGTACGGGAAGTTCTGCAACCAAGTGGGGGAGGGAATAGCCAGTGCACTGATGGTTAGCCTTAGCACGGTGATCCTCTCCGGCATTTCAGCTTTTAGTCTCTTCCGCTTGTATGGAGACAACAAAGCCAAGAGCAGTGGGAGATGGTAGTAGGCTAAACTAAACTACCTCTCTTTTTACCACAAAGATATGTAACTTGGTGGTCTTTTCCTATAATGTGTTAAGGCCTTGGTCAGAATCAAAAGTGCAGTGTAAAACTTACCAGGAGACCTTAAATTTTTGTTTCAATAATCAAAGTGCAATGTAGATTACTTAGAAACAATTTACGAGTGGTGTGATGAAATTGATCTTGAAATGGTAATTTTTCATCTCCGTTTTAGTGTTCTTCGAAATGACATGGGTAGATCTGTGCGTCCGAGCTGTCGCATATCTTACTTAAAATTCTTGATGCAGTAGCTGTGAAAGGTGATTGGCGTTTAATGTACTCAGGCTCAGGCTGTTTCATATTAACCTTAAAATTGGTCTGCAGTTAAATGGTTTGATTTGTTAGTAATCAAACAACATTTTATCAGTGTAGTTCAAGATGTCATCAACATCCACAATGAAATAGAGAGAAAAACAAAAAAAAAAAATCATAATTTGTTCAACACAAATTAGCATCGCTAGCTGTGTTTAGTGTACACTTTTGAAGTTTATGATAAAGTTGTACTAGTTATAGCCTAAATGTGTATCACCCAAAATGCAGGCTTGAACAAAAGTTGCATTTGAGGAATAATATATTTTCAAGATTGCACAACTGGGTGTTGCAGAAAATTGAAGTTTGCACTAGGGAAAAGTTGAATCATAAACCCTAAAATTGGAAAATTTAGAAATCCAACAAGTAGGCAAAACAACCCTTTGGAGCTAATTCCTTCCAAAAAAAAAAAAAAAAAAAAACCCTTTGGAGCTAATTAGTTGTGCAAGTAACCAAAAGTTTTGGACTTCAAAGCCGAAAATAAATTTCATTTATTCCAAACTGGATTTAATCACTAGACTACTGCCACCTTAAACAGATTTTGCCGCCTCAGTGTGACTATGCTCGTTGACAAATATAGATAATTCAAATCAAAATACAATAATAATAATAATAATAATAATAATAATATGCTAAAAAGAGTAGTGTAAGAAAAATAAATACTTGGTAAATATAAAAATTAAAATATTAACAGATGATATTTTCATTGAATACAATTACAATTACAACTGTAATCCACTTGTATCCTTATTTTGAAGATATGCATAAAATTAAATACAATGATTTAAATAAATAAATAAATAAATAACAAGAAGAATTTTAAGAAGAGGAAAAAAAAAAATTTAACACGAAAAATGAGAGGACTTGGGAAAAAAATTAGAGTTTAATTGAAGAATGAATTTTTTTTTTTTTTTTTTGGGGCCAGGGAGCACATGCCCACACTTCTGGACCTTAATTAGACTTGAAATATACGGAGTTTGATCCAAAATTGGACCCAGTTTAAAGCTCAAAATCTAAACAAAACTTTGTTAGAAGAAGATCTGTGTGGCTCTAGGAGATTCTTAATGGAGTCGGATTTTACCCGAATTCAAGTCAAATTTATCTAATTCTATTTGAATTATCTTTTATATTATCTCGGTCAAATATGGTTCTTATCCATTCAAATTTGAATTAAGGTATAAATTTTGAGAATAAGTTATAAATTCGAATACTGATTAACATACTTTTCTATTCAATTACAAGCCCTATTGACTAGACATAATTTACTTGAGTCGTGTTTGACAATTATTTTTGCTTCATTATTCTTTTATTTATTTTTTATTCTTTTATTTTTCTTTGCAGATGGTGTAATGTATAGAAGCAAAATAAGAAAATGTGTTTGATAACTATTATTATAATTTGAATATTTTATTTTCCAAAAAGAAATTAATTAATTTATTTTATACCGTAACAATGAACTATATTAAAATAAATTTTGTGGTCTAGCGGTATAAACTCTAAAAAAAGAAAAAAATAAAAATTTTTTTAATTAATTAATTAATTTTTTTAACTTGTAATACTTTTTTCTAAAATATTCTCAAGCTTTTGTTTTCAAAAATTTTGTAACAAGTTTTTCGACACAAAATGTACTTTTAACCACCATTGAACACAACCAACAACAAGAATTTGGAATGAAAAACAATGAAATGGAAATTAAAAATTACTCTAGTTAACCAAAAAAACATAAAAATAAAAATTACTCTTGAGGGAATTATCTAATGCTGTGTCACCGACTCACCGCTTGAAATGGACCGTGGTCGGCACGTGCTTACAAGTATCGTTGGATCATGTACTCTCAGTTGGATAAGCGGAGATATTTCTCCACTCTAATTTGTGTCGGACTTTTCTCAAACGTACGCGACCCTCTTCTCCACCGGGTCCGATCGACCTCTATCTCTCTGTCTCTGATAAACCCATCCTATTACCTTTCTTTCTCCTCCTCGTTCCCAAATACTATTTGAAGTTATAGGTGTCAATTATTTTCTTTATCGCTATATATAGTTGTATATAAACACATATAGATACATATATATTTTCAAGGCGGAGAGAGATGTCGGAGAAATTCTCTGCAACACTTAGAATTGGGGACCTCAATGACTACATAGCACCTTCACAAGGTTGCGTTGTTTCTCTTAACGGACTCAAGGCCAAATCCACCAAGCTCGACAAATCATTGGTAATTACTGTTTATGCTTAGGGCTTTTTTTTTTTTTTTCGCTTGATGGGTTTATAACTATATTTGATATTATTCATTGACGTAATTATTGAATTTTGTGTTCTGCTCATTATTTAGTTAGGAAGCTCACAATTTTAGTTATACACATGTTTGCTCAATACTGCAAAAATATGTGACCTTATTCCTTAACATGAGTGTTTTAGGTCGAAATTTAATGTAATACTAGCTGGTACAATTTATCTCAACATTTTTTTTGGGTTAATAATTGATCTAAATAGTCATAATATGTGAAATTTTAATTGAAATGTTTCTCATGGAGTTCATTATCGATTTAAGCTATGCTTCATTATCTTTTCAAAAACAAAAATTTATTTTTTATTTCTCAGAGAAATCTCAGAACTTTGGGAAGTATTGTTCAATGTTAACCAAAAAATACTTTATAATTCTTGGTGAAGTATCTCACTTCATAATATCTGCATTAATTTTGATTTGATTTCGATTTCTCTATTTTGCATTAATAGAATCCTGAGAAGGTTGGCTCCTCTATTGAACCACTGCAGACAAAACCAGTGCAGATTTCACTCAAGGACTGCTTAGCATGCAGGTAGTGCCTCCGCCCCTCTTCCCTCAAATGTGTACACATGTTTGTGTTAATAGCTTAAAATGTGTGACAATTTGTAGAATTTAGGGTTAAGTGCAGTAAACCCCCCTCAACTTTACCCAGAAAAGTAGTAAAACTTCTGAACGTTTTCTTTTCTTTTCTTTTTTGTGGTTTGTTTCCGGATAACCTCGATTTTTGCATATAGCACCCTCACACTAACTAGGTGTTTGAAACCTAAAGGCTATAATACAACATTCGTGTTGGGTGAGATACTTAAGTGCAATTTACCACCCTGAACTATTCCTAAAAATGCAATAAACTACAGTAAACTTTATTTTTGAGACTCTTAGTATCACTTTTTTTCACACAGCACCCTTATGATAATGCAACATCTGAAAAATAGCTGTTATACTATCACGTATGGGAGATATATTTAATACATGTTATGATAAAAATGCGCCCTTTTCTCATAACATAAAATGCCCTTTTCTGTGACAAAATTGCCCTTATTTTTTATCATTGGATCTGGTTTCTTCTAAAAGGCACAGTGGTCCCTCTGCAAAGATAATTTCTCCCCTTCATTTATACTCCTAGGCAACACCAATACTATCTCCAATAATATCCAAGTATAATTGTGTACTAGTCACCCTTTCAATTTTCGTTTTCTTAACTACACTCTCCATTGAGGCATGGACAATTGTGGGCACTTGAAATGTGCAAATTGTTCAATGTTAACAAGTTATTTTATTTTTCAAAAGGAAAATTATTATCATACTTGCTTTACAATTAACAGCAAGTAACGTCGTGTACTTATTTGCAACTTTAGTTTAGGGGGGACTACTTGGTAAAATAGGGGTTTCTGTGACTTGCGAATAGTTCAGGGAGTTCACTACAATTAATGAATTTTTACAAATGGCAAAATTGCCATTTTACCTTAGGGCGGGTTAACTCATGGCCTTATTTGCATCTTGTTATAATTTAGGAGGTTATTTACATCAGATGTTCTCTGCAACTTGCAGAATGTTTAGGGGTTTACCACACTTAACCCATAGCTTAAAATGTATGCATGTAAACACAAGAAGGCCTATTGAACATTAAGTTTTGGATGTTCCTTGAAGTTAAATATTCATATTTTTAATGGAGTAATCTTTTTTCTGTGTGCACATCGGAAACTTAAATCTCTGGATTTTCGAAACAAGTAAAAAATCATACATGTACAACTCATTTATGGTGATTGTGCAGTGGGTGCATAACATCAGCAGAGACAGTTATGCTTCAGAAGCAAAGTTTAGATGAGTTTCTTTCGCAGATCAATGAAGGGAAGGCTGTTATTGTCTCTCTCTCTCCCCAGTCAAGGGCTTCTCTTGCCGTTCATTTTGGCCTTTCCCCACTTGAAGTAAGCTTTTTCGTCCTTCCCTGTTTCCTCCATATTTGCTTCTTTAAGTTAATTATGCTGGGCTTAATCCCTTGAGTATTAACATTACCCAAGTGACATGTTACCATCTTTGGTTCATTATGAGCTTACATCTTTGTCACATTCTTTATGTTCTACTTCTATGATAATTGGTAGGAATATTGTAATTGGTGTTTCTAGTCTTGATAAACTGTATGCAGAATTAGTTGTTTTTGAGGATGCATGCATGTTCCAATGGTGCCAGTTGTTATTCCAAATTTTCAGGTTTTTAGGAAACTTACAACATTTCTCAAGTCCTTGGGAGTGAAGGCTATATTCGATACCAGCTGCAGTAGAGATATATCACTTATTGAATCGTGCAATGAATTCATATCACGTTACAAACAAAGTCATTCAATGGATGATGAAAAACATAAATCATCTCTACCCATGATTTCCTCAGCTTGTCCAGGTAAAAATGCCTTGTCCTAATAATATTTTTGCCATTGCATGCACACACAATCATGAAGAAATTGTTTGCTATGTGACTTACGTCCTGCCATGATGTGTTATACAAATATTTCTCTCAAATTCCAGGTTGGATATGCTATGCCGAAAAAACTCTTGGATCCTATATTTTGCCTTATATATCCTCAGTGAAGAGTCCCCAACAAACTATTGGAGCTATCATCAAGCACCAGATATGCCAAAAGCTATCTCTTAGGTAAGGCATTCAATCTAATATGCATGCACAGCTTAATTAATTCACAAATCATAATCATATCAAGATTGTGACCTGAAGACATTTTCTATTTTAGAATCTATTTGTATAAGGCGTGAGCCATAAGGATATCATGTTACCTAACTTATCCAAAAGAAGAAAGATCATGTCACCCAAATAATTTGTATTGGCACAACAATGATTGTCGAGTCAATGAGGGTTGTAGACAGTTTTTAGAGGTTCTTGTCCGATATCGGATCCAAATGGGGAAAGTCATAGGCTTATATGGGGATATGCAACACTACCTAATAGCTTAAGCTTTTGGGTTAGAGAACAAGCGCTCAGCCCATTGCAAGTGGTATCAGAGGTCTGGTATCACGCCAAGCGCCCACTCGGGAGGTGTCCGGGTAGGTAAGGTGTTCCGACTGCAACGAGTGCATTGCGAGTTTGGGTGGGAATAATGTTAGAGGTTCTGTCCCACATCGGATCCGAATGAGGAAGGTCATGAGCTTATGGGTGGGTATGCAGCACTACCTAAGGCTTTTGGGTCAGACCGCAAGCGCCCAGCTAGTTACAAATGTCCTCTTTTTTGCAATCTGCATTTAGTTATATGATGGACACAAGTGGCAGCAATCCATATTTCTATCCATGAAGTAGAAGCTCTTGTTCAATGTTGTACTAAATCTTGTTGGATCATATTTGTCTTTTTGTTTTTCCCAATTTTATCAAGTATTGAAATTTTATAAACCCACCCCTGCCCAATATGGACCCACAAAATAATAATAATAATAATAATAATAACAATAGAAATAAAATAAATAAATAAATCACCCTCACCTCTACTCATGCCCACCAAAAAAGGGGTTAATATCTAAGCACAAAAAGTAAAACCGGTCTAACATGCATTTGGGCCTCATTAATTAACGTTGTGATGAAAGACTTGGCTCCTTTAATAATCTTTGTCTTATCTTCATGTTGCTGAAGATGGCAATGCGAAATCAAATTGTCATCAAACCTGATATTTGTTCAGGTGCATCTACTAATGATGGAGTCCTTAAGAAAGAAGACATTTCTAGGACTTGCAGGTTAAATCTAACTACCTAGAAACTAAACAATAAACACTACTCACACACACGTGCCTCAACTGAGGCTTGAACCCTTGACCTCTCTTTGGGAAGTAAGAGCCTGATACAGTTGGACTACTGGCCCGTTGGTATAAACCTTCCCTCTTAACATCACTAATATATAGATTTTTTACTTTTTTTTATTTCATTCTCGATAAATCTGACACCCTGATCCTTGAAATGACATGATTGAAGAAGAACAAAACTTAAATTTAGTACTGAAGATGAGTTTCTTATTTATGAAACAAATGAAAACCCTTTTCTTTATAAGTTTTATCACATCCCATTTAATTTGATTAGTAATTGAGTATGTTCTTAAAAACAATAATATTAAACAATACGGTATAATAAAACATGTTATGTATTTAAATGGGTAGTATGTGTCTACGACTCTATGTACTTGTTCCAACTTTTGGATACATGTTCCCGTATCCTAAGATTTGGAATTCGAGGAAGTCCGATACTTAGACACACACCCACACCCTTTGTACTTACCCAAGTCCGGATAACATATCACATAATGTAGGTTAGATTTTGACGTGCAACATTTAATTATCTGTGTGGCTTTCACATGGCATTCTTATGGTCCTTCACGTGGCCCTTGAGCTGGCTTCCACATGTTGGCCCCTCCACCAGATACATGCCCCAATACCTCATGATGCATGGCTCTACTATTTTGACCACCTCTTGGGGTGTGTCATATCGGTCCCTGAAAGGCCTATATGAACGTTTTCTTGGTAACTTTAGCCTTTAATATGGGCATTGACTATTGAGGCAATACCAAGGTCCTCTTGTGCTGTGGAATTGGATCTCCTTTTGTGGTTTCTTCTCTATTACATCCTGCACATTATGGCCCCTCATAAATCCATCTCTGGGTACATGCACTTTGTTGCAATAAGGCCATATTTATGTTTTGTCTCAGCCACTTTGATATAGTCCGAACACCACATTTTCCTATACTAGGATACCTTGAGGTTTACTGTTTTAGCAACTCGAACCAAGGACTAACCCAGCATTGTGGTTCAACCTGCAGGTAATGTCTTGGCCAATTTAGAGAGGAAAAGAATTCTATACTCAGAACTTCATCTACTTCACCCACTTGTTCTTCTTGCTGACTGGTAGGCCTTGGCTTCTAATACGCACCTACATCTTTCTGCTCACCACATGCGTCATATTTTACTAGATGTCATCTACACATTTGGACTCCTATAATTAAGGATTGTAGGAGCCGATTGAGATTTGTACTCTAATATCCTTTGAGGTGAAATCTACACTTCACACCTTGATTTTTTTATTAGCATCACCTCTCTCTCTTTGTGTGTGATAAGATCGCCCTTGGTATCATTAGCGTATTGCCTCCTTGGCAATAACCCTAACCCTACTAACCCACATATAGTTGTATAGTGTTGTATTGATGCTAGAGTTAGAAGTGGTGAACCGGGGGATTGTATGTAAATTGGATATAGTGTCGACTGCTCGGTTTTCTATCTTAGTAAACAGGTCACCAGCAGGTTTCTTTGCAAGTTCGAGAGGTTTACGTCAGGGGGACCCATTGTCCCCATTTCTATTCATTATTGTTATGGATGCTTTTAGTAGACTCATGAAAAGGGCAGAGGTTCTGGGATTTATTCAAGGTTTTACAGTGGCTATGCGCCAAATTAGATTTGTACATCTCACTTGCTGTTGGCTGATGGCACTATTATGTCTTGTGATGCTAGTGTGAATCAAGTGAGACACTTGAGGTGTGTTTTGACCTGTTTTCAAGTGGTTTCGGGGTTGAAGATTAATATTGGAAAGAGTATGATTGTTCCAGTTGGGGATGTGGGACATATTCATGAGTTGGCAGCTATTTTGGGTTACGGAGTGGAGGATTTTCCTATTTCTTATTTGGGGCTGCCATTGGGTGCTTCCCCGAGGAGAGTTGTTTGGGATCTAGTGGTGGAATGTTTTCAAAAGAGGTTATCGGGGTGGAAGAAGCAATATTTGTCGAAAGGGGGTAAACTTACATTGCTGAAGAGTACCTTAGCTAATCTTCCTACATATTTCATGTCTTTGTTTCCAATCCCTAAAACAGTGATTGGTAGACTTAATAAGATTCAGGGGAATTTTTGTGGGGGGTGTGTAAGGGAGGAGTTTAAGTACCACCTTGTGAATTGGGAGAAAGTGTGCACCCCGATTCAAAGAGGAATTGGGATTGCACAGGTTGGATATGTTTAATAAAGCTCTGTTAGGGAAATGGTTATGGAGATTTGGATGCGAAAGGTCCGTGTTTTGGAGGCATGTTATTGCTTGCCGATTTGGGGAAGAGGAGGGGAGGTTTGAGTGTCCAGAGTTTTGAATGCATCAGCGGGTATGGGATCATGGAAAGGTATTAGGAGGGGGTGGGACAAATTCTCTAAGCGGATACGGTTTTGAGTTAGGGATGGTAGTTTTGTGAGGTTTTGGATGGATGTTTGGTGTGGGGATGTGGCGTTGGCTTATAGGTTTCCTAGACTTTATAGGATGGTTGAGGTGTGGCATGCGCTGGTGGCAGATTATTTTAGGTTAAAGAATGGGAGAGCTACTTGGGATGTGAGATTTCGAAAAAAATTTAATGATTGGGAGTTGTTGGAGTTTACCAAATTAATGGGATTAATTTATAATCAAGTGGTGGAGGGGGAAGGAAGGGATGAGATGGTGTGGAATGGGGATTCTAGAGGGGTGTTCAAGGTGAGGTTGTTTTATAAAAGTCTTACGAATTCAATGAGCGACGAGTTTCCTTGGAAGGCTGTTTGGAGTACTTAAGCTTCCATAATGGTGGCTTCTTTCACGTGGACAGCGGCACTTGGCAGCATTCTTACTTTGGATAATCTCAGAAAAAGACACCAAATAACAGTTAATTGGTGTTGCATGTGCAAGAAGGCTGGTGAATTGGCTTGTTGCCATAGTTGTCAAAGGCGCTGGAGGCGCGCGCCTGAGGCACAAGGCGCCTCCAGACGCCATGTTGTCACCTTAAGTACACTTAAGGCGGCTGTGTTAACTAAGGCGTGCGCCTTTCACACCAAGGCACCAGGCTACAGGCTCTCTAAGGGCGCACCTGTTTGAAAAGTTGTTTTTTACTTCTTTTTGTTATTTTGTTTTTGTTTGTTTATTGTTTGTGTATTGTTGTTATATTATTATTATTATTATTATTTCTATTCTATTATTTTATTAGTTAATATAATAGAAAGCTGAAAGCCTACAAGTTGCAACATAAAAAACAAAAAAAAGAGAAGCAAAAAGCAAAGGAAGAAGACAGAGGCAGCGAAGGCACTCGGACTCTCGGATCTGCGTCGGCCAGCAGGTAAGTTCTCCTTCTTCTCTTCTTCTTCTTTCCTCCTTTTCTCGAATCTGCCGGATCTGTCTCAGATTTTTTTTTTCTTCTTTTCCTCTTCTTCTTCTCTCGAGACTCGGCTCTCTCCTCTGGCAGATTTACTTTTATTTTTCTTCTTTTATTTTTTTTTTTCTCAAGTTTTATTCTTCTTTATTTTTTTCTTTTTTTTTTCTTCTTTTCTTCTTCTTCTTCTCTCGAGTCTCGGCTTTCTCCCGGCAGATTTTTTTTTATTTTTCTTCTTCTTTTATTTTTTATATTTTTTTATTATTTTATTATTATTTTTTTTTTCTCGAGTTTTATTCTTCTTTTTCTTTTTCTTTTTTCTTCTTTTCTTCTTCTCTCGAGTCTCGGCTCTCTCCTGGCAGATTTATTTTTATTTTTCTTCTTCTTTTTATTTTTTATTTATTTGTGTGAGGTACTTTATATTTACCTGCTTGGAAGCCTTGGATTAGATTATTAATACAATGTATTGCTCTCACTATTTATTTATTTATTTGTGTGATCCTGATTTATTTGTGTGAACAGCTGTATTTGTTCCATTCTAACATGTTATTGGTTTGAGGAAATGCATTTTTATCAAATTTTGTTAAAATGAAATAATTAGTTAAGTGTACTCTAAATTATAGAAGACAATCTCAAATTGTAAATAGCTCATGTACTGTTAAAATGAAATAATTTTGTTAAAATGAAATAATTACCCATTTACTGTTATATTATTTTCATATAATTAGGTTCTATTATTGAAAGAATGTTTAGTTGTTAAATCACTTACCCAAAAATGAAAAATAGAATCAATCATGGTGCTTATAGAAAATTAAATTGATTTGATTTGAAAGTATATCACATCCTTGTGGTTTTTGCAAGATAAATTCATAATTTCTATTTAATGCATCTTTATATATACTATTGCATCTTTAATATTTTATTGGGTGGGTTTTGTTTTTGTTTTTTTCAACGTGCGCCTTGCTTCAGTGGGGCGCGCCTCTTGCCTTGCGCCTTGCGCCTCAGGCTCCAGGAGGCATTTGCGCTTTTGTGCGCCCTGAGCCTTTAACAACTATGCTTGTTGCATTGTAGAGTGGCAGCGGTTGTTTGGAGTCTGATGCTGAAAGTATTTGGGGTGGAATGGGTAGTGTCAAGTAATACAAGGGATATGTTAGAAGCTTGGAGAGGGAATAGAGTGGAAAGTCGGGTTAGGAAGGCGTGGAGGGTTGCACCTCTTTGTATTTGGTGGGGTTGTGGCATGAAAGGAATAGGAGATCTTTCGAAGGACAGGAATCGTCGGTGTGGGTTATCAAGGCGAATATTTTGCGTTCTCTTTATTCTTGGGTTAATGGGAAAAATTGCCCATCTGTAGATAGTTTTTTGGATCTCGTTGACAACTTATCGTTGTATTGACGCGTTTGCGTTTTTTTTAATTGTTTTGTAAGGGTTCACTCCCCTCTGAGTGTGTTTGTTTATACATCTTTACTTATCCAAAAAAAAAAAAGTTGTATAGTGTTATTAAGCATTCCAATTTCCTTTTTTCAAAAAGGTTTGAAACGTGCTTCCCGAGATGATTATCATAACTTCATTGTAGGAGCCTGAGGTTATATTTTTCTTCTGAATTAAAAGTCATATAGAAGTCCCAAAAAGGTCCACCACACAAAAAATAAAACTCATTTGACTGATATTTCGTATATTGGTGGGGCTCAATTTGGATATATCTCTATATCTGGAGGTACTGTATCAGTAGTCTCTTGTGGGATTTCAGTACCATTGACAAAAATCTCAAGGATACATCAAAATCTTGTCAAGTTCTTATGTCATCTTCATATTATCTTGCATGCTTGTGAAGTTCTGATATGCTTTCTTATTTTATACTGAATTATCTCCATTCAACAGGCCAGATGAAATCTACCACGTGACAGTGATGCCTTGTTATGATAAAAAGCTTGAGGCTGCTAGGGATGACTTTGTGTTTCAAGTGGAACATCAAGGTGATGGTCATGAGAATGCTAGTATAGAAATTACAGAGGTAGACTCTGTGTTGACATCTGGAGAGATATTAGACTTGATACAGGTGCCACCATGATTTTCCATATATAGTAATTTTACAAGTTTGGGTAGTGCTATGTCATAGTTTCTTTCTTTATTTATTTTATTGTTTTGGTTTTTGCAGTTAAAATCAGTAGATTTCAAAGCATTGGAAGAGTCTCCCCTAGATAAATTGTAAGAAAATTATCCTTCAAAGGTTCTCTTGATTTGTCTAAGTTACTTTATCAAATGGAATGAATGTTATTGTCCTACAGGCTAACAAATGTTAATGACGAGGGACATCTTTATGGGGTTTATGGAAGCTCTGGAGGATATGCAGACACAATTTTTCGATATGCTGCTAAAATGCTTTTTGGGAGAGAAATTAAAGGCCCTCTGGACTATAAGACTATAAGGAATTCAGATTTCCAAGAGGTGACTCTTGAAGTAAGTTTGGTCTAACCTTATCTTGTTCACATCGTTTGGTAGACATAGGAGCACTATGCGTTGTGAGAATTTGGAAATTGTCAAGCAGTGGTGGAACCTGAATGTTGCATAAGCATTAGGAGTGTTGCTTCACTTTGAGGGTCTAGCTAACTAGGTTTCGTTTTAAAAAGGATCAGTCTAATTTGTGATCCAATTTAGCCTGTCCCTTATATGTCAAGACATTGGACATTGCTGAAATGTCGAAGTTTCATATAATATGGAATAATAGTGTGGAAGTATCAGAGAGTTCATAGGTGTATGCAATACCAACTTCTATTGGTTCCTTTGCTTGTGCAAAATAAATCATGGAAGTATCAGAGTTTATAGGTGTGTGCAACACCAACTTCTATTGGTTTTTATTTGCAGTAATATATGCACATGTATACACACGTAAAGTAGGGATAGAATCAGGTTGGTCAGTCAAGTTTGGGTTATGCTGCCTGATTTCTCAACTCAAGCTTTACTGAAACTAAATTGGGATTTGGATTTTAACTCAGGCCAGACCAAGTTCAGAAGAACGATGAAAAATGGGTTTGGGTTCAAGTTGCGTACTCATATTACCCTAGTAAAACCTGCCAAGTGACAATCTGCCCTTCTGACTGTCCCACTTCTCCATCACACCCACTTTACTTCTTTGGAGACTCAAACCCTCACCATCCACTGGGCCACAAGGCCCTTGGTCCATTTGTCCTATTGAAGTGTATGAATTTAGAAAAATATTAGTTGCTCTATTGCGTGTGATGATATCATGATTACAGGGAAATCATGTCATCTTTTAATGCAGGTGGAAGGCAAAACATTACTGAAGTTTGCCCTATGTTATGGCTTCAGAAACCTGCAGAATGTTGTGAGGAAAATCAAAATTGGAAAATGCGATTACCATTATCTGGAGGTTATGGCATGCCCGTCAGGTATTTTCTTTTATTTTCAGATTAGTTCATTTATATTGAAATAGGGGTTCTATATGTAGACATCTACTGTGTTTTTCTTCTTCATCGCTCCTGAAGTTTAATGTGCACGGAATTTACTTTTCTTTTGATCAACAGGGTGCTTGAATGGTGGTGGTCAAATCAAGCCAAAGTCAGGGCAATCTGGCAAGGATTTGATTCAATCATTAGAAAATGCTTATATGGAAAATGTAAGTATTTGGTTGGAGGAGAGGACTTATTTAGGTGTGGTACTATTATTTATAGTTACATCATCTTGGATTCTACTTCATCTAAGACTGCACCCTTACCTGGAGTTTAGAGTGTGGTGTGAAGTTCTTATTATCCACCTGAACCTTTACCTGGGGTTCTGATTGTGCTTATGCTTATTCTTGCTTGTTTACAAGTCTATTAATGCTTACAAGTGTGGATTTGATTAAGGAACTAATTAATTTTTCTTTTACAATATTCAGGTTTTGGTTGCTGATCCTTTTGAGAATCCCCTTGTAAAAAGTTTATATGATGTGTGGCTTGAGCAACCTGGTTCAGAGAAAGCTAAGAAACACATGCACACGGCATACCACCCTGTTGTAAAAAGTATTACTTCTCAGTTACAGAACTGGTGAGAGGAGGTTTTTGTCCCAAATTCCATTTCTAGTGGAATGGTGGAGACTCCCGTTTTGTGTTTCCTCAAATCCACTTCTGTTCCAAAGTGTTCCTGTGGCAAGTGGCACAAGGATTCATTTACCTTAACATCCATCACCTCTTGGATGTGGTATTGCAAATATGGACGAGTCCAATTTTGGTAGAGAGAACAGATTATCCATGAGGGCACTCCTCCGGTCATGTATATATAACCTGCGTTTTGATTTTTGTTTTTCTTATCATAGAAATAGTTCGTTGCGGGTGAACTTATATAGAATTATGTATGTAAAGCATACACCATTTTCATTGTTTATTCTTTTCTTTTTTGTGCATGGGGTCCAGGAATATCCGGTGCATGTATACTAATCCTTTTTCTTGTAATTTTTCACAATTCTCTGTATTTAAACTGTCAGGAAAGAGTGATGCCCTGTTATGGAACTAAACAACACACTTTTAAGAGTTTTATTTTCGTTCCTTGATTGACAAACGACGTAAAGGAGGTTGGGTTGCCTTTGCTATTGTGACCCGTACTTGCTGGTTTTAATTCAGTGTTGGGTTTTTCTTTTTGTTCATTTTCCCAAAAATAAAGTCTTTTGAAGTTGATATTGCAATCTTACCGTTAATTGGGAAAACTATACTCTGCGCAATTGGGGTGAGAATGTGTCTTGGTTAGTGACAATGACTAACGATGCTCAAATGGTTTCTGAAGCATCTTTGTTCTTCGTTGGAATAACGGTGCAACGGTGACAGTACAGTACATATGCATGTTTTCATGCTATGGTAAAATATTCTGAAAAAATAATAAATAAAATAAAATAAAAGACAAAAATGGTCGATTAGGTGGTTGTTTTCGTGTGAATGTTCTCGATCTTGCTGGATTGAGAAGTTTTATGACAGTTTTTTTTTTTTCTTCTTCTTCCTAAATAATTGAAGATTTGTTATTATGTTACTATCATTTGAGGTTACCTCATAAGGTATTCAATCAGGGACAGATTCAGAAATTTAATTGTGTGGGAGAGCAAAAGTGATTATTATTATTATTATTATTATTATTTTTAATTTGAGAGTAGGCAACATTAAAATTTCCTAAGTATATAATTTTAAAAAGATAAAATTATTAGTATTTGGTACCAAAAATAAATTATATTATATTAGTTAAATGCTATATATTTCTTTCAAGCATGTTGTTAGGAGTGACTCATTTATAAGACAATTAATTCGATTGATATTATAAATTTTTAATGGAACATACAACTAATGCATTATTTCTTTTTAAAATAAAAGATAACAATAGAAATATAGCATTTATTTTGTTTGACTCTTCAATATGAAAATTAATATGGGACGTTCTAAAATGGAAAAACGGTGAGACATTCGAAAATGAACTACTGATACGAGAAATAGTGAGTATTTCTTTTAATAAATTAATTATGCTTTGTGTATCATATTAATTACTAAATGAATACAATTATTCTTCTATTGATCGTTATAAGTTTGTTTTTATATAATTGTTAAATATAAAAATTTAGTACTATTAATATAATCAATGTAAAAAACAGCCTAATTTAGTGATTTTACTTTAGGCATCAAACTTTATCAAGCCACCCTAGTTATCTCAACGTCGGTTTGAGAGCAATGTCTCATTATTTTTGAAGTTTCTTTTTTTCGGGAACGATAATTCCATAGCTGTTGCCTTTTTGTTACTTAAAAATAAATAATAATAAAAATATTCGGAGATGTATGTATTTGGAGAATTATATAATGTATGGATTTTAGATTTTTAATAATATTTTCTTTCTAGTCTTCGTATGGATAAAGGTCGATAATTTAGCATTGCACCACGAGTGTTAGATGCACTAACAGAAAACACCAGAGAAAACAAACGACAGTAACGGAAAACAAAACGACAGTAAAAAATTAAATATAAAAAAAATGCGGCGAATTTCGTCCGGTACACAGTTAAAACAGGGGGCTGGTCCGAGGTTTCCGAACCTTGGAAGAGAACTTGAAACAATAAGGAGCCCCTCCCTTTCTCTGCAACGTCTCTCGTGTTTGATCCGCAAAGAGAACGAAAATGGTAAACCATCTTCTGCCTCTCTCTCTCTCTCTCCAAATTCTGTGTTTCTGGGATTATTATATATGTAATTTCTTGTCTTTCAGTCTTCTATTCCACATTATCAGAGTTGTATTCATGTTTTTTTTTTTTTTCGGAAATACTAATAATCTTCATCCATGTTTTTGGAAGCTCTGTCTTTTTGTTGCCTGATTGATTGTTATGTGCCTTCTTTCTCTAAGTTTTCATATAATAACTCAGGGTAGGGCTTCTGTTGTTTCTTTTGTGCTCTCATTTATTGTTTTCTTCTAATTTTTTTATTCTGTTTTTCTATGTTTATAAGATTTTGGGAGAAATCATTTTTAAAATGTAACACTTAACCCTTTTTTTTTTTGTAAGTTAAAGAACACTTGACCTTATTAAACAATGCCAAACACAAATCACCAATAAAAATGTTTACCCATGTGAATAACTAGTCAATTGAACGCGTTGTTTAGTCCGGGTGAGTAGCATTGCTCAAATTTGGCTCATTTGAAAGAATTTAACACTCAGTGTAAAGATTATTCACATTGTTGATACAGTGCACCTAAAAGTCCCCATCTTTTCATGCAATTTTCAAATTCCATTGATTTGGTATTCAGATGTTCTCTTTTTCTTTATTTTTCCATTGCAAATTAGTTCTTGAAAAAGTTTCCTAGAAACCAAACAGGCACATAATTTACACCCCCATATGTATGAACGAATGTTTTAATTATATGGCTTGGGGACAATTTATCATGTGTTGGTGGTAGGGATGGGAAAGATTCTCTCTTACATCTGCAAAATTTTATTCTTATATCCTGAAAATTATTTCGAAATGTACTTGCGGTGCTGCATTGGTGTTAATAAGGTTGAAAAAAAAAAAAAAAAGGGAATGGGTTTTTATGGTTATTTGGATTTGACAGACTACTTCAAGACGCCTTTCAGACAGGAAAATTGCAAGGTTTGATAAGAATATCACCAAGAGAGGATCAGTTCCTGAAACCACCAAGAAAGGAAACGACTATCCAGTTGGGCCTATTGTTCTTGGGCTCTTTGTTTTTGTGGTCATCGGATCATGTATGCTCTTTAGACCCTGTTGACATCCTTTATTTATTCTATGCAGCTATGCTTCCTCCTTTGCCCCTTTGTTACTTTTACCATTATTCTTTTATGTCCTGTATTAGTTAGAAATTCACATCACTGGAGGGAATCATGAACAATATTGCCTATAAAAGGGATTTAGAGTATCTTGAATACTGGCTTAGGGTTGAGAAATCTATGAAATGATTTTTTTTTTTTTTTTTTTTTTTCTACTTTGTGCTTTTGCTTTACATTGAGATTGGGAAAGTAAAAACAGAGAAAGTGAAGGTCAAAATAGAGGAGATGAACTCGGTGTAGGTCATGAGAATGAGTAGCCTAGAGAATTTGGGAAAGAAAAGAAGAAAGTGTTGGGAACCGTCAACCTAAACATTTTCTAAACAGTTTTGAGTGGGGACAAGTTCACAATTAGAAAATAATATACATAGAAATTTTGAATTAAAAAAAGTTCGGTGGGACACCTGCCCCCACGGGCATATATGTGGTTGAGTGGTTCTGCCATTGTTGTGATGCGAAGTTTGTGGTAGAGTTGTGACTTGGAGTCGCATGCCATGGTTTTTTATGTCCATTTATAGTCGCTTTCTATATTTTTCCAGCTGAGGAGTGGCATGCGAACAATAATGTTCTTGTGCTACTGCTACCAAGTGTCTTTAATGAGTTTCTGAAATAACCTCCATATTTTATACCATTATTGTTATAAAAAAAAAAAAATTTAAAAAGGCTGGTAATATTGCTAAAGACTGCTTTTATGCTTCCAAGGTACTTTTAATTTTCAAACGAACAATTATGCCCCTAACCGAAAAATAAAATAGACTCATGAATTCACCTCCCCCCTCTCTCTCTCATCTTTTCGTTGTTGTCATAGTAAGGTTACCAATGTTGCCACCACTACCTCCATTTCGTTCACTCTGTCAATGATACCATCGCCCTTACTGATGTCACCAGCTATATCATACTTTTGAGGCTACCATTTTCTCCTCCTTGTTTTTGTTTCCATATATTTGCCACACTTTGTTACTAACTTAAATATTTGGAGATGAAAATATTAATCTTCTGAATTTCCACGGTCTACCATTCCCACTTATGTGGTCTACATTATTTTGGAAGTGGTGGTCAAATTTTTATGTATTTTGTGCTAGTTTTATTTTGTATGGTCTACATTGTTTTATCATGCAAATTATTAATTTAAAGCTTCTGACTTATTGCTTTTCCTTTGTTGGTTGGCAGTTCTGTTTCAGATTATCAGGACAGCCACCGGTGGTGGGGCGTTGGCCTGAGGAAATGGGGTAGGAAGTTTTGTTGAGAATGTGATTCTGTGGTTGGATACCACCATGAGTAACAAATAATTAGTGTCGGAATGTGAAGTTAAAAACATATTTACTTGCTCAATAAAATAAAATGGTGTTATGCGCTTGATCTAGGTTTTCTGCTAGCACATATTTCCCTTATAGAGTAGTTCTTTGCTGGAGTGGTACTCCATTTAGGAATTTTACAAATCTGCACATCCACCTCTGTTGTACACTGTACAATAATAGACTGTATCGATAGCGGCTGAAAGCAACAGTTTCTAAGAAGTTGTATAGAGGATTCTCTGGTCCAAAAGAATTCATATAGCCCAGACTGAAATTAAACATATGCATTTCACTATGTTTATACATGCTTGCACATAAATTATGTTTAGGGAAACATTAGGATGCTAAATTTTGCTTCCAGGATTCCTAATTGCGCGCGCGGATAATATAGAGAGAGTTTTATTTATTCTAGTAAGCTGTGAATTTCTGTGACTTGAAGCCTTGGTAATGCAGTTACTGACATGTACACATTTCGTATGAAGAAATGTAAATTGAAAAGAACAAAAAAATCCGGTATGATTTACCATTGCATTTCAACAAGAAACAATTCAAATAATACATATATCATTTTTAGGAAAGTAATTCTACATTTCTTGTCTATTTTTCCCTCCAACTAGTCTAGCAGGGTTTCCAACAGCAGTGGCTTGAGGAGGCACTTCCTTCAACACAACAGAGGCTGCACCAATTTTAGCACCTTCTCCGATTCTGACATTCCCTAAAACTTTAGTCCCAGCACCTATTAGTACCCCATCACCAATCTTAGGGTGTCTGTCCCCCGTCTCCTTCCCTGTAGCCCCTAATGTCACATTATGTAGAATGGAGACATTGTTTCCGATAACAGCTGTCTCTCCGATCACAACTCCGGTGGCGTGATCGAGTAGTATTCCCCGTCCAATCTTAGCTCCAGGATGGATATCAACTGCAAAAACCTCCGAAACCCGATTCTGGATAACAAGTGCCATGACAGTCCTACCTTGTGACCACAACTTATGTGCAACTCTATGAGCTTGGCATGCTAGGAAGCCCTTAAAATTTAGAAGGCAATGAACGTAACTAATGCAGGAAGGGTCACGCTCTTTCACTGCTTTTATATCATCTCTAATTGCTCTTTTGATCTCACAATCTTCGGCTAGAACACTCAAGAAAACTTCACCGAGTGTTTCGCTACTAAGATTTGAAGTGCTCAACTTGATTGCTAAATGATTAGCCAACGCGCTCTCTAGTGAATCATGTAACAGTATGGAGGAACAGTAGTATCTGGATAAGAGGGGCTCTTGCTCCATATCGGATTTCGCCTCGTCTCGGATTTTCAGCCACTCGGAATCATCTTCATCGCCGGCATGAGGTATGAGCTTGGATGGACTAGGAATTTTGTGTCCATCGCGGTGAATGGAATTGCAGGAACTGAAGCTTGTGACACTGGGTGTACATCGAGATTTGTTGAATTGACATGGATAGGTATTTGAAGAAAAAGTTTGGTTTCTTGAATTGTCAATACAAGCTGCCATTGAATGGCAACACATCGGCAGCAGAAGATGTAGATGAAAGGAGTTGTCTAGAGAGGGAGAGACGAAGATTCAAGTAGTCCGTATTTTTATTTGTTGGAATTCAATTGAGAGTGAAGATGGTTTATATAGATGGTGAAGAGAGGAGGTGGGACTATGACCAGAAATTTCATGGAAATTACATAGTAAGTACCTCCTTGTTCAAAGGGTTAATGAAATGGACCATTTTTATTTAAATTAACAAGAACAAGAAGCAGTTTCGAGGAACGTGAAGTTTCAAACCACACACGCATTGGATGATGCCCATTTTTTTGTCTTAAAAAATAAAGCATATATAATTTCATAGTGACAGTTTGAAAAATAAAGCATATATAATTTCATAGTGACGTTTGGCGTGACGATTTTATTTGGTCGATTCAAACATAGACCCAAGTCTGCCGCGGTAGGGTACACCCGCCAATTACTTGAACACAACTCACTCCCGTTGCACCCAATACACAAGGAAAGTCTACATCCGTCCGATGAATTCGGTATTTATTTTTGAGGAGTGCTAATTGACCCATTCACACCCTCGCCTCTGATTGATTAGTTTTGAATGTATTTATTACTTTAAGTTTTTATTTTTATGGACTCTATTAACATTATTTTTTAGACAAAAATATTCTTTTAAATTATAATTTTATTCTTATTTTCTCTTTTAATCGATTTAGGTTTAGGAATGTGTGCATATGTGTGTAATATATATATAAATATATAATAATAATAATAACTAATGTGATAGGAATGGATGCTAAAAAAAAAAAAAAAAAAAAAAAAGTTAGGATAATCCATTCACAAGAAATGGATCCTAAGAAAAAAAGAAAAAATAAAAAAAAAAAATCCTAAAAAGAACAAGATAGATTCTGAGATTTAAAAAATATATATACAAAATTAGTTTTATATACGTATATATTTCTTTTTTGGTGAAGGAATTATTGCCTTTTCTTTTATTTCCTTTTTTTTAAAAAAAAAAAAAATCCATTTATACAAGGATAGTTGTAAAAATAAAAAATAAAAACAAAAAAAAACATATATATATATATATATATAGGAAAAAACAAAAAAGGAAGAAATATATAATCGAATTTTTTTTTTTATTCTTTTTGGATTTTTTTCTCTCTTTTATTTTTTTTCTTCTTCCTTTTATTTTTTTCCCGAATCCATCCATCTCTTTTGAATGAATTATCCTATCACATAACTAACATACTCGATTAAAAAAAGAGAGAAGAAAAGAAGAAGAAAGTTTAGATAATTTAAAATGGTATTTTTGTCTAAAAAGTAATATTAGTACAGTCCATAAAAATAAAAACTTAAAGTAATAAATGTATTCAAAACTAACCAATTATAACTAACGACTACAGTCGCACAAAGCGACTGTAATTAGCACTCCTCTTTATTTTTATATACAGAATAATTGTTTTATATATATAGTAGATAGATTTTTTAATTGTAAAAATGTAAAATCAATTTACCAAACAATTTTAATAATAATTTAATACATGAAATTTCACACTGATATTTTCATAACTTAATTTTCAATTTTATTAAAAAATACCTATGCTCTTCCCATATTCAAAATTGAACCAAGTGAAGTTTATTGGATTCTAATGCATTTGTAACAAATAATAATAATAAATTAGAAGCGGGTTAGATATTAGTGAATAATAAAATATGAGGTAGTAAACACAAGGGATACTTATGGTAAAAGGGTGAAGGACTTTCTAACTTTCTTAACCCTCTTATGGAATGCAACTAACATCTAAAAAGATAACCCATAGTACCAACTAGGGTATGGAAAGGGTAGACATGCACAGCCTTACCATTGCGCCAAAGCTCGCCCTCCAAATATAACTAACACAGTACCTTTAATTCCATTATAGTTTGGAATAGCATAACCTTTTCAGCTCGCTAAGCCGGCCTCGACCTAGCAGTAGAGCGCAAGGATCCTTGTTAGCATACCACAATGCGGTCTCTCCTGGGACATCTTTAAATCAAGGCTAAGCCTAAGCGCCCCGCATTCGAAGGGAATTGATGAAGCATTCAAAAAAGAAGTGGGAAGGGAACAGTAGCAACATTCTCACAAATTTTCTCCCAAAAAAAACCCATTTTATAAGAACTAATTTTATAACTTGACTATATATAGTTCCAAACAGAAACCTATGCTATGCAAAGGACAACTAAGACACTGTCGGCACAATTCAGGGCACAACAGCATGCAACACAACTACACAATTTCAAGACTCGATTGAACCACTACCTCCTAACCTGGTAGGATCCCCAATATGTTTTCTGGTATGATCCTGATCCAAGTAAACCTTGAACCTAATACAGACACTGTTTGATTTACACTATCCCAACTCCCCTGGACATTCCTATCCGAAGACCTCTACATATTTATATTATTTACAGGAACCAATGGAGCACCTTCAGGATCTACTTACTGAGTCAAAAATTCTCTGCAGCGGCCAAACCATTGATTCATGCAACTTCATTCACTACTTCTCCTGCTTCTACTACTTTACATTTAGCAGGTTAAAACCATCCACCAAAGTTGCCTTGGCCTCCTTACTAGCTCCATCATTACCACCACTATATAAAGTTCCACCAGTTTTATCGTTGTCATTGATACAAGCTCTCTTCCTTAAATTAACCCCCTCCTTGTTTTCAAGATCAGCAGATATGGCCAAACCTGTTGCTTGTGGCTTACCTTCTTCAATTGCTTCAAGTTTGAAAGTAGTGACTACTTTGTGATCCACTGATGAAGAGCCACCACACTCAGATGCTTCAGCCAAAGTCAAGCAGGTTGGCAGCGTCTTACCAGGACTGACAATTGAAGATATGTAATGATGTATATCAGGCTTCGCCTTTATATCCACCCATCTGTTACCAACCCAATCTCTTGAAGTCCTTGTATTCTCTCTTGGTAGAGTCAAGATCCTGTTCTCACCTGAGATCACAAAGATGAACCACATCAGCTCATCATGGCAACTACAAGGACACCACACTTTGGTGTGGTATACAACAAGCTCATCAAGAATAGGCCAACAAGCTGGTGTGCCTCATGGACAGGAAATATTATCGTTTATTGAATATATAATACTCCAGATAGTTGTACTTATCAAAAAAAATAATTCCCCAGATAGTTGTACCTATCAAAAAAAATAATACTCCAGATAGTTGTATCAGCTACAAGAATAAAACAAGGGGAATATATCAGATTTTACCAATATGAGAGCATACCAGGGAAGTAAACTTGAAGACAATCACTTCCAGAGATGTTGACTCCACTTACTACACCTTCCCACCAGCCATCACTCCACCATGCATCAACTGCAGCCCCAACCTCAAAAGCACAATCTGAAGAATCCTCAGGAGGCCACGGACGAATTGTAAGGCGGCCTGAGCATCTCATGCCTACTTTATCAGGAGATGCCACTCTGGATGCAGGAACCCATTCCTAAACAAACAAAAGCGCACACACGCAAAACGAGAGAGAGAGAGAGAGTATCAATGAGTATATTTTGTTCCTTGGTGACTCAATTGTTTTCAATACATTAGAAAAATATATGTTTTGAGTATGTCAGGGTTCAAATCTCAGCGGATACCATATTGACTCGACAGAGTCATACAGGATTTCAAGGGGCCTGAGATGACATTGCAACAATTCACAATGTCATCCTTTCACAATATTCTACAAATACTGGCATGATGCTGGAATTGAAAAATCATTTAGGCACTCTCTTGCAACCTCAAAGTGATTCCTCAGATATCATTGTCCGGTAGCCACTGTGTGGCAAATATTTTTCTATGGGCAGCACCTAGGATGCATTGCAGAACAAACTACCAAGGTACAATGTGCTCATCCTATATGGTTCAGTAATTCAGAACCTCATCCTTGTATCCTTAGGTTAGCTGTTCAACATCATCTTTCCACAAATAATCATCCGGCAAAGGGGATTATACCAAATGCCAGGTGTATGTTCTGTTGACAGAAAATTACATGATTATCTTTCTTTAATTGTTTATTTACGTAGAATCTCTGGCAGCATTGTACCACAAACTTCAGTATCCATAAAAACCCAGAGTTTTGGGATAACATGGTATAGAAGGCTTCTTTAAATTTAAAGGTAAAGCATTTTGTTAATTCCTAAGATGGTGCATAGAGTTCTGTTTTCTGCTGTTATATACCATATATGGTGTGAGAGTAATAGACAGGCTTTTAAAAATGAGTATAAGGATAAAAGCAGTCCGATCAACATAATAACCAGGGACATTATCTCAAATCCATGGGCCATAAGGCTTCCAGCAACTCTACTTTGACCCATAGCTTGTGTCACAACCTGGGATTTGCACGTTTTATGGAAAACTAGCTGATGGCTTAGGGAGGGAAAGCGGCTAGGAGAGAGAGAGGTGATTTGATGTGGAGAAAGAGTGTAAAATCAGAAAAGTGGAGACAATCAAAGAGAACTTGAAGAATGAGATAGATAGTTGTTAGAGCACTCATAAGAAAAGATTTGTTCTTGGCAATGGCTTAGATATCTCTTATCTTTTTTCCCTAGCAATGCCCTTCCATTTTGAGAAATTCACATAATAATTATTTGGTGTATACCTCCCTTTCCTTTTAGTCTAACGACTCTAACCAAAAGATAAAATCACATAATAGTTTTCTGGTGCATTTACATACCTCTAGATTGCCAGATTCATCTGCGTCCTGCACATCATTATATTGAACCTTCAGACGCTTTTGTGATACCTGCAAGATCTTACACCTAAACCAGCAACCTCGGATACCGCTATCTTCACAGAGCAACTCTATCTTGTCATCAACCTTGAAAGACGCGTGGTATTGGGGCTCGCGTTCAACAAGCTTAATGCCAATTGGTCCTGTACTTGATAGCCTGATTTTCAGCTTCCGGTATGTTGGTTCACATTTTGCCATCTGGTTTCCAGGGACTGAATTCATGGCACCAGATTGTCCAGTCTCAAGTCTCTGATGCCCTTTACCACTTCTATTCCTCTTAGCACCCTGCCTCAAAGTGTCCTCATGGGTAAACTCTTCCTCTCCTTCCTCATTTGATTTATGGCCCTTGGTCTTGTGCTTAGAGACAAGAGAACTATCTAAAGAAGAGAGGATTGCTTGATTAGAGTAGCCACGCAATTTACTTATGGAAAAGGGCTTAACCTTATTGTTTTTAAACTGCCTACAGCACATATGAATTGCAGACGATAAAGTTTGTGGAACAACAGCCAAGCATTTCTCGTAATGCTTGGGAGTCAAAACTGTGGCGGGACCATCAATACATTCAGCACTGATTGCCTGAACATGAGGTGTGATGAAAACTTCTTTAGGGTGTGGATTCAACTGAGGAATAAAACCCTTGACTTCTTGATTGTGGTGAAACCAGCGCACTTTAACCTTTTTCTGTCCCTTCTTGTCTTCATACAAATCTTCCAAGTAGCCAAGATAGTGACTTTCTTCTTCAGCCATGATGAATACAAAGGAATGAACCTGATTACCAAGGGAAGAAATATGAGATGTTTTTGAGGACCATAGTGCCATTGAAAGAGAAAAGATAATCAACACGTTCATGCTTACAGCTATTGTGGTTCCATTTCGGCAAAATGCTGGGTAGTGCTTAAGCTGTTTACAACATATCCAAGCAACACCCGACCACACAATGTCTAAATTTTGAGCTTTAAATTTTCTCGGGACTTGGATCTGAAATGAAAATTTGAAAGTCACAACAAATATAATGTGTTTTTTTTTTTTTTGTGGAAGCAAACTTAACAGACAGACTGTAAATTATACCATCTGATCAGGTACATGAGTTCGAATAGCAGAGAATCCAGCCACTGACATTTCGTGAGACGTTAGAGCTTGTGCTGAGTCACTAGTCAATGAACCTGTCAGAATTAAGTTTAGATTGCTCAGAGATATTCGCTTCTGATAGAAAAAGTGAAAAACCAAGGTAAATGTATGAATTAATCAATTCTTCATCTGAGCTGATAGTATTACATATGAAATCAATGTTAAAGTACATTTGCCAGCCACAAAATGTAGCCAGAGGACCACCAACAAATCCAAGTCCATAGCATATGAGTGATTGATGTTTAGAAACAACAAAAAATGATTACTGCACCTCAATGATGCTCACAGCACCACTGCAATTCGTAAAATATAAAGCATGAGACGTACCCACTCTTGTGTATTTGCTCATTACATGCGTCTTTCTAGCAACTAATTTTAGATTAAAAATTTATGAAGCAATGGGCAAATACAAGCAAAACGCAGTGTTGGAAGGGCCAGGATGGGTCCAAGCCTAATCTTTGACAATACTTGTACAAAGTGACTGCTATCAGACTCGAACTTCGATTATTCAAACTTGATGCTAAAAGCTTTTACTACTCACCAAGCAATAAACTCTATACAAGCAAAATGATGGTAACCAATTTTTAAAACACTGAACTTTGAGCACCTTCTAAATATTACCACCAAGAAATAAGCTAAGGAGGGCATACATATCATATCTACACCAAAAGGCACAAGACTCAACAATCTGATATTAACTGGACATCAAAAGGTAGCCAAAACCCAATTACCCAAACAAATACAATGTTGTTGAGAAGGGCTAATGTAAATGTTTTTCCTACAGTAAATCAGGCACCAAACAGGCATGTTGCCAAATGAATAGCCATTAGGCCTTTGTCTTTTATGCTGATATAGCTGGCTGTATGGATGCAACAAGTAAGAGTGATAACTAAGCTATGATTTAACACGGGTGGTCTAAGAAAATCAAAAGAAAAAACCAAATACCAAAAACGTATATAGTAAAATTAAGAATGGAAATGGAAGAATAGTATAGATATATGGCTAAAAAAATATCTTTGATCTTGGTTTGATCACCATATACAGTACTGGCGAATGCATGACTATGAAGGTGCTATTTTTATATGCTGTTTCTAAGCAATAAAAGGTTTTAAGATGACAAAAGGTAAAACATAACACAGAGTGCAACTGTACATAATTGATAGCGAAGGAACACCCAAGAAAAATCATCCATTAGGTTTCAATTATTCATAATGTAACATTATACAGGACATGTTGCAGATACTACTCAAATGGATGGGTGAACTACAGTAACTAATTTAAGGAGGAAGGGAAGATAAGAAGGTAGAGAGATGCAGGATATGGAGCTTATGTGATAAGGGTAATCACTTTGAATCAAACAAGATACTGTAATGATTAACAATGTCAAAATGACAAGGAAGTGATAAAGAAATATGACAGATTTATACGAAAACCTTGTGGAACATTAAGCCAACAAGAATGATTTGGTGAAAAGTGAATACAAACCTCAATTCTAATTATAGTTTATTCATATACACTTTTGGTGGCAGACATCCCTAATTTTCAAGAAGGTTATAATGAAGTTTGCAAGTAGGAAATACGGGAAGTGAGATTCATTAGAAATCGATGTCCAGGCAACTATGGGATAAAAGAAAAGGTGCTTCTGGAGAACTGTTTGCCAGATTGGATGTATAGAATTTAGGATAAGATCATCAGACCGGTCGATATATGCTACACAATCCTAGCAGTCAACTAACAACAGATACATGAATTAAGTGATGCTGAAAAGTAAAAGTTCTCGATGGATGGCAATACAAGGAAGAATGGGCAGTTAGCATTCCTATGTTAGTGCCTTAAAAGGGGCAAGATGAGGAAAGGAGTTTGCGTTGATTAGGTCATGTGGAACACAAAACCAGCAATTGCATCTATAGGAATCTAAATGATGCAAATTGAAGGTGTTGCAGGAAAGTGAAGGCCCAAACTTACACATGGCAATGAGAAAAGATACAATGATACATGCATAAAGTAGAATGCAAATTAGGAATCTTCTAGCCAAAGATATATAACTCAGCTGAGTAGTGGTGGAATCACTCAAGTATCATAATGAGAAGAAGGAAAAAAAAATAACATTTTAGGGAAAGATGGATCAATATAGCGGATTCCATGTCACGGGGGGCATAAAGTCTGACCAAGTTCGAGTTTTATTTGAAAATTTTAAACTAGTTAAATATAAAAAGAGACATTTCATTAATAAAGTTTTAAAAAATAAGTGAAAATTTAAAATTACTAAATGCACCACAGAACAATAGTTGAGTCCAGCCCAGAGCCAAGGTAAGTTTGATTTCAGGTTTTGGAAATCATCAGCCCAACCCTCAAATAAAAATAAAATAAAAAGTAAAAAACTAATTATGGCCACCCTATCCTCGTATGTCAGCTAAATTGAACCGCAGAGAGAGCAACATATATAACCATAAACAGGGACAAGCAAGTGGAATTCACTTAAATAGATGGAAGACACACACACACACAACAAAAGGGGGGTGAGAGAGAGCCTCATGTCCATGTAACATAAAATGAGTGGGTATGTGAAAAAGAGCCTAGCCATATTGGCAAGCCTGCTACCACCTATAGCCAATTGAATAGAAAAATAAATGAATGACAATCCTTGCAAATTTTCCTTAGAGGTTAAAATTGACATTAATAAGTTAGTTCACATTTAACTTCACATTTGTTGTTTTTTATAAACAAAATAATTGTATATACACTAAATCTTTTAGGAGGGTGCCATACCCTTTGGCTCACTGAACAAAAAAAAAAATTCGATTATATAAAAAAAATATATATAACGATCTCCAAATGCGGGTTCCCTGTATTGAACTTTTCATTTTAAAAAAAAAGTCATGTTTTTTTATTTAGAAAAAGTGAAAATTTAGTGTTTTTTTTTCTTAAAAATAAAAATAAAAATAAAAAGACCAGAATAATCCAAATACTACTTTTGACTAAAAACTAATTATCTATATCTATAAATAGAGAGAGTTTTTTAAAACATTTCCAAAAAGCCTATCAGAATCTCTTTATTTTTTAGGAATAGAACAAATCCGACCTAAACCTATCTTCAGTAAAAACCATTAATGTTATTTATAGGTCAGTTTGTTCTAATTACGGAACACTTCACTTACAAAATGCACTAAAAAATATATAATAAAATGACAGATACAGAAAAGCCTCGATTATCCTGCCGCAAGAATAGAAATTTATTAAAGAATTCTTTGCAGAAAATCTATAATTTGTTAGTCCTATTAAGATAACCTACATATTACTACATCAATTAATTTACAAACTCTTTGATTAAAAACACTAAATCTTACACTCTTTAATAGTTCTCCTATGTTATAGGTTTCCTAAAGTAAATACAAAATCATTGCATAATCTCTCTCACGCATAGCAAGACCAAAGACATCAGATCGATTCACACACGCAGAAAATTCCCTGTGCATAAGGATTGATCTGTCAAGTTCCAAGAAAAGACTAAAATTTTGCCCAATTTCACTGTACCATATTGACGAGCATGTAGATCACTTGCATGTAAACAATGCTTCGGGCTACGTTAAAGGCCTTCAACAAATCCATCACCAAACTGTACACTCGACATCATCTTAAGCAAAAATTCCTAAAATTTTAAAAGAGAAAAAGGAAAAGAAAAAAAAAATGGAAGACCATGAAATAAAATTAGGAACCTGGATGTAGACCTAAAACGAATCTCCATCAAGTCCTAGAAACCAAAAAGAAACGGTACTAGTGTACACATCATGGATTTGTTAACCTAGAAAATTGGATCTACAACAAACTTAAGAATACAACAAAGCGACGGAAGAAAAAAGAAAGAAATCGAACGCTACAAGAAAGATTTAAGGCTTGATATGATACCTAATTTCTCGAGGTCGGCCGAATTACACAAAGATCTTGTTGAGACCTCGTCACTCTCTCTCTCTCTCTCTCTCACATATAGGCACAATCAATTCAGTACCAGTACTGAATAAATAGGAAAAGAGTAAGAATATGTGGGGCATATATCATAAGTGTGACTTCCCACATCGCCCCGGGGGGTTATGTGTGGACAAGCAGGTCATGACAAATGGTACCAGAGCTAATCCCCATCCGGAAATGGGGGGCGTGTACAAACTCATGTGGGTCAAGCCAAAGAGGACACTGGGTCCCAAGAGGGGGTGGGTGTGACGTCCCACATCGCCTAAGAGGGAGAAGTTGCGGAGACTTATATGTGTGGAGACCCCTTAACCATGTACATGCATTTTGAGAAAAATCGTGAGCACCAAAAGGAGAGTAAGCAAAGCGAACAATATAACGGTGTGGGCAGGTCATGACAATAAACGAAACTCCCAACCTTAAAACCTTGGAAAGGTAAAGCAGTACGAGTGTGCTTTCAACGTTTCATTTATGACAAGATATGCAAGACACCTTTTTTTTCTTCTGCGAGTGGAATACTTCTAATAAAGAAATGACTTATTTTCAAGATATAAAAGTCCACCATTACGTAATACAATTGCATACATTCTAATTTCTTCTATTTTTATTTTAACGAAACCTACTCCGTTGTGCCAATAGGCAAGCAAAAGTGAAAATTCTATGACAAGGATAGCAAATGAACCAAGTTGAACCAAATGTTGAGATGTTCAAGCTTGGCTTGGTCATCTCAAGGTTGTAATTGAGCTTGGATTGAACCATAACCAGTGCTATTAGGGTTCAACTCGTCTTAGTTCATTGAAGCGTGGGATCCACTCGGGCTTCATTGGATGCTAAAATACAACTTGACGGGGTTATTAGAGAATCAAAGAAGCAGATATCATTGTGTTGGCTTCACCTGAATAAAGGTGAAGGGACAAAAATTGACGAAAAACACAAGGCATGAATTATTTAAACATAGAGTTAAGTAACGAATAATAAGGCTTCCAAGAGTGAAGGACAATCCATCATCATGCTCTTAACATTGAATGCCATCTATGGAACATATTGGAGATAGAGATGATAGTGGGTGAGATTTTCAAAATAGAAAGTAGATCTTAGAAGGAGAAAATGTGGCAAAAATGAAAAATTATGAATAGAGAAAACAATTCTTCCAAAAAGCAACAGTGTACTTCACACTGAATCAGTTCCATGTGAACGTGATTACATACTAGTGTCTTATTGGGTTTACTAAAGTCTCCACTTTCCTTCTTTAACTTTTTCCTAAGACTTGCATTTATTCAATCATCTATTTTCACGAGGATAGCAAGGTAAACCAACCCAAGTGTTGTAGAAGCTTTGCCTGTTATAAAAAAAAGGCCAAGAATTATTTAACCTCAACTTGTTCCCATAGAAAACTAACCTAAAGAGATTGTTGGCAAACTGAGGTTACCAATTCATTAATGGCTCTCTATTCATTCGAATCCACGATGAGGCTATCAACAAAATCTTTGAGCTAAAATTAATCTCACTTGTATCTTTTCTCTTCTTAATTGCTTTATGTTGCATTCCATTTCTGCCTTGTTTTTTCCTTTTTTGATAAGTGCATTCCATTTCTTAATGCTTATTGTAGGTCCATCTTTTTAGATTCTCAAATACATGATGCCATCAACATTAGTTCTATTTTTGGGTTTCCAAGACTTTATGTAGATTTTTTTTTTTTTTTTCATTTTCCATTTAGCTTCCTAATTAATTATTGGCACATTCCTTTTCTCTTTTAAAATCTCAAGAATAAAACTTGAGCTAATGATAAATCTATAACAATTATACTTTTCCTCTTCTTTTAGCACGAAACTTTTCAATCCTAACACTAGCATCGAAGTTTAGCTTAGTATGTCTTCTTACCCAACAAATTTTTGACAGGTGGTTCTACGTCAATCGATTGTGCAATCTTTTGTAGTTGTCATTTGATGTCCAATAAGCAAATTTAAACCCTTGTGACCTTGCACTAAGTAATACGAAAAGGAGCACTTTGTTGAAATTTACTCACAAAACATTAAAACAAATGCATTTAATATTTTAACATGTTCATGGTCCTATAATTATTGGGAAGATGGATTTGAAGCAATATATTAAAAATTTACCATTTCTTTAAGTTTTTTATTAGGAAAGGAGAAAAAATATTACTTGACATACATTTTCCTAGATAATTCAACTCCAACAAGGTGATACACACTTCGAGTTTGTTTTCTTGTAACAATAACTTGAGACCAAGGAATAAAATATTGCAATTTATCATGATATATCTATCAAAATAGTGCAGATCCATGTGATGTAAACGATTTGGATTTTATTCAAAAAGTACCGTTTATCATGGATATATTGTAAAATATCCCTACAAAACAATAGGTTTCACACACATGGAGTCGTGGATATATTGTGCAAGTCTTGAATGATATTCAGATTTTAAGAGAAACATCACAAAATATGGCACTGATCATGTTCTATGCACATGATGCATGCATAACCCTTAAAGTAGATATGTTTTTTATAGACCTTTTTTTTAAGCATGTAAATCATGAAATAATATCTCAATTAATAATTTACACTTCCAAAAGTTTCAACCTAGCGTTCCATCATTTGTTCTTAATATTTGTCTATTTTCCTAAGAAAAATTACATTATTAATATATGCAATCACAATATTTTCAACATTATTTGTGCTCTTCATGGCAATGTAACTTTATAAGTTATTTAATTCGTTGCTTGAAACAAATTACAATAGTCGTGAAAAAGCACAGCCAATGAGCTAATATTCCACTCAATATTTAACCAACAATAGCAAAAGATTAATTTAGTGGGTCCCACATGTTCTTTTGTCTATCGTTTTTTTTTTTCCTAAAAGAAGAAAAAAATTTATAAATAAGCAATAAAGTACAAAAGAGAAAGTGAGATAAAAATCTCACTGAAACACACCCATAAGAGTAAAGAGAAGTGTAGACATGCCTACAACCACCCTTATACCCTATCTATCCTAGCAAATCTTGAAAATTGACCCTTGCAATATCTAAGACATCCCAAACAATACATTTCAATAAGATGGAAGGAGATCTAATAATATTCGTGTGTAATCTCCCATTCCTCTCAATCCATAAATAATAGAGTGTAGCTGTAAAAATAACTCTGAAGACCTTGTTCCTACAGGAATTGACAGCGAACTGTAGCCCCAAATCATTTGTAAAAGCTGTAATAGAACTCAATTTTTGAACCTTCCAATGGAACAAATCAGCTAAACCACACCAAACTTCCCAAGAGTAAACGCAAGTAAGGAACAAATGATCCACATGATCTAAGTTCCTGCCACAGAAACAGCAAATAGAAGCTAAAGAGATACCCCTTCTCTGCAAATTAACCTCAGTCAGAACAGCATTTTGTAAAATTAATGCACCAAAAACAGACCAGCGTGGCCTCCCTCCATTCCACACCATAGAATACCAAGGTACATCAGGTTTGACAACCCTACAGGATTCCCAAACAGCTTTGAAAGAAAAAGGTTTGTTATTCCACAAAAACTGATCTTCACCACCATGAATTCGATATTGTTGCACAAACTTTTGTCTATCGTTTAATATATATATTTTCTTCACGAGGACCTTACTAAATAGACTTAACATTTGCTTACCTTAATAGTGTAAAAGACATTTTCCAAATCTTATTTTTGCCCTTCTCTTATATTTTTACTCCTCTCTTTTAGGTTTCCTCCTCTCCTTTTTCTAATCTCTCTCCCTGTTTTACTCTCGCACGTCTCTTATTCTCTCCCACTTTCTCTCTTTTTTTTCTTTTTTTTTCTTTTTTTTTTTTTTCTCACCCCTCCTCTCTCTCTCTCTCTCTCTCTCTCTCTCTCTCTCTCTCTTCCTATATTCCCACGCCTATGTGCTCAAGTGTTAGAAGTTGGAATTACTTATCACAAAAGAAGAAAAAAAAGTGTTAGAAGTACGAGCACAAGAAATTGGGTAAGACTTAACGATCCTACAATCAGATTATATTGTTCTTTAGACTTTAGAATTTACTTTTTCCAAATCTTGGTATAAATTTCTATTTATAAATATGTCTAGTTGAAAATGTGAATCTGTATATGAAGAACCTACGAAAGGGGAGAGAGAGAGAGAGAGAGAGAGATTAAATGGGTTAGATATATTATCTATTGAAAATGATATATTAGAAAAACTTGAACATAAAATTTTAATTGGCAATTTTGCATCTAAAAAGGCAATAGAATGATTTCTAAACAAAAATTATGAATAAATCAAACATTAAAACGTAACGCAGAGAGTTTTCGCCTTAGGTTTTAGATTGCATCGATCCAGACTGTACAGTTCTTATATAATAAATAATTGATGACCGCTCTCTCAATTGATTTAATCTTAATAGAAGAAGCTACCATTTAGTGAATTTCAAATTTTGAACATTCCACTGTTAATATTTTGTTAGAGATATATCACTTAAAAAATCCTCCGATTAATAACTTGATCATATTGCAAAACAGTCATTTTTTCCTTTAAGAACAAGTTTGCTGTTGATGATTTTAGGACGTGAGAATATGAATATAATACACACACACACACACACATGTATTATTGTTATTCTACATGCCTTTAAGCCTTAAACCACATAAACTCTCATGGATACAACCACCACCATGCTCACCCCCCAAGCCACTTCCAGCCCGATCCTACTCGATGTTTCAACCTTCACGACAACATATTTTATCTTGCTAACAAATTGGAATCCATTTATGTGACATATTTACAAAATGTATTGCAGGACCTCGGCTTTATTTTAATAATGAAAAATATTCCTAGTGAATCCTAACTAGCTGCAACCTTCTGAAACATAAATAATAAATACGTCCAAATAAGTTCAATTTAATTTTTCACCTAGTCATCTATTAAGCAAATCTTACTTCATATATGAATCCTAACAAGTTAATAGCAATAGAGTAATATTGTGGATTCAATCATGATAGCTTCCATTAATATAGGAGAAATTGAATTCTGAAGGCAGGTAAAATCTTTTGCAAATTGCAATATGTAAGAACTATGAACCTTGTAGTGATGGTAATTTTATTGGAATGGGGAAAATAACATCCACATTCAATGTATGTGTGGCTAATCAAATAAGTTGACCCACTCAAAGAACATAAATAAGAGCTAGTTAGAATGAGGAGAAAATGAGGATATCAAGAAATTAAGGATATAACTAGGGTTATCAGAACGATTTAAAATATACAAAAATAGAGGTGTTCATATGCAAGTAATAACATCATTTTTTTTTTCTTAATAAAAAATGGAAACGCAGAAAGAAAAGGATAAAAACTTGCAAAAAACAAATCCAACTTGTTGCTTAATAATATGCAAATGGAGAGAGTTAACTTTCATTCTTCAATACCAACACAATTGGGGTCTTTTAGGCTACAATTGAAATAACTAGAAATACTTCGAATTACTTATTGTACTAGGGAAGACGTAAAAAGGAAATAACACTAGTATATCATTGGAGAACTTCTTCACAAATTCCTTCACCTGAAAGGACATGACCTATAGTTATTTGCATTGCAATAATGGATACTAATGCGACAAATGTGACAAAATCTAGCAAGCAATGAAATTTAAGAATTGCATTTTGTAGCATGCACAACCTCTGTGCAAGTAACGCTACTAGATAGAACATGCATATTGTGAACTTTCACAGGGACTGCATATCGTAAACTTTCACAGCAGGTTCTAACTTGAACACAATAAACTACATACTTGAGATATCCAATGAAGGATGTTGCTCCGATAGCAATGATTTGAGCCAGTCCACAACTTCCCTTCTTGCTCGCCATTTTGTGGAGGCAGTGATGAATCCCTTGGACTCATATGCCTGCAAGAATTCGTCAGAGACAACATAGATCATGTGCCTTATGCTTCTCTCAGTCCCAACAACAGCAAGGACTAAATTCCCTGAGGCATCCTTTAAGTAAAAATGAACTACGCGGTTGCCCCTCTCCTGCGAAATAATGTGCTCTTCCCATGCCACGAAAGCATTAGAATCCACAGACATCCTGATTATAGAGAGAACCACAACAAAGTAAGTGCCAACTAAATTCAAATTTAGAAGAATTCCTTCATGAAAATGCCTAATTTATGTGATGACTGTTTAAACCAGTTGTTTAGAGAACAATAACACAAACTACACAAACGCTAAGATGGTATAGGTTCTCATACAACTTAGCCCAAAAAAGGAAATTTCATAGATTTGAGAAAACCCATTTGAATAAAACTCAAAGTGGCTCAGCAAACATACAAAACACCCAATCTAGCATCAACTAAAGTTGAGATTTTAAAATCCCTGATCACAGAGAAAACCAACAACAACAGGGCATCAGATAAACGAGAACACAACAGCCCAAAAACTAAAAAATAAATAAATAAAAAGAAGAAGAGAAAACTAGGGTTTTAAAACCTAAAACCAGGTCAAAAACGAACTTGCATTAGCCTATTTTAAAGCCTCCAGCGATTCCAGAGCCATATACAGGTGAGTCAAGACAGCATTCACTAACAACTGATGATCAAACAAACAAACAGCACCGCAGGGTTTGAAGTTGAGTGATAAAGCAAGTTAAGAGGAGAAAAAAAGCAAAGAAGGAGAAACAAACCTGAAAGAAGAAACACAATTTGGTGGAAAGTTGAGCGAAGCTTGAGGTATGAAGGAAGGCACCGAATGCGAGTTTGTTATATTTGGGTTGTTGTTATCTGTGATGACAGCTTAGCGAGGGGAAAGAGTAACGGAAGAAGATTACAGAGAGAGACGAGACAAAGGTATAGAGAGAAAGCGAGGGGCCACATGCCATGACACCAGTCAGAGTTGCAGAGTTTGGAGTCTAGGGTGCCCCCATTGACATCTGGTGAGGAAGAACCGGAGAGAAACCCCCCAGGAATTTCTAAATTAATAAATTAAGAAAAACGAAAAGGAGAGACAATGTCTTGTGTATGGTACTCAGACCATAAACATCACTCCTTCATGGAACTACTACTTAGAAATCAAATCAAGAGGTGCACAATTTGCGGAATCTTTGATGACCTAAATTTGACCCAAGTAGTTTAATGAGGTCAGTGGTGAGGGCACACCTCCACCTCACAGTAAATCGGTTTGAATTGTTTATCCATGCCTTCTAATATGAATTGAAGGCATACTAAATCAGTCAATCATTAGGACTCTATGGTCACGTGACATTGTTTGTACAAAAGTAATTTATTTGTTTACATGAATTTTTAACGTAACAAGCTCAAATGTATGAGGTTAAAAATTATCAATCAATGCTCAACTCAAGTAACAAAAAGAGTAGTTCAAACTCATTCAAGAATTGGAGTAATTCATAATCAAGTCTTGAATTGGATATTAAAGAGCTCTTACTTTCCCTACTTCTCAATGCTTCTGCTACATCCATAGAGACCGAGTGGGCTAGCTGGCATTGTTAGGATCATGATAAATGACATGTAACATTCTTTATTGAATGTTTACTTAAATAATTTTATATTTGTATATGTCAACTATATATGAAATGGACATCTTAAAAAAGTCTTATAAGATTGGCAAGAAGGTAGGAAAGTGATCATGACATAAATTCCATACAAGCAAATTTGAAAGTGAGCACCGACAAAATTAAATTACAAATAATAAAAGTAAATATATGTACCGAATGTGAAAAACGAGATCATATCATAAAAAAAAAAAAAAAAAAAAATTGTGTTACTTAAATCATAAGCATTCCTTTTATGCTGTGTAAGTATAGGGATGTGAATTGAGACATCTAAAGGGACATCAAATTCAGCTTGAGTCAACTAATAATTTTTTATTTTTTATTTTTTATTTTTAAAATAAAAAAAAAAAAAAAAAACGAGGGATTAACATACTAGTCATTTTGAATGCAGTTGTCCCCAAGTGTGTAACCAGTGCTTTAGAACAATCTCCCAAATTTTTATTAATACTACTTATTTATTGCTATTAATGTTGATTTTATATAGAAATTTTTTTTTTTTTTTTTTTGATAAGTATATAGAAAAATTAAAGTTGTCCCACTCAAATTTTTACAAAGATTATTTGTATGGTTACCTATTTATGATTATTAAAATGTTTTAAAAATTCAAATCTAGGGCAAAAATTAATAGGTTATTATTTTAATCATTGCTCTACGACATTCATATTTTAACTCTATTTACACACACATATGTATATATCTTTTAATATATATTATATATATATATATATTATTTGTTATAAATAAAAGGGAGGGAAACAACCTCATTTCTTGTCGGTCAACAATTCTTCTCTGTTTTTTTTTTTTTTTTGTTTTGCTTTTCTTCTCATGCCATTTATAGGCATGCTATTAAAAATGTCTTTTCTTAAAAATATATATCTATATATATATATACAATTATCTATTTTAAAATTTAAATTTTATATTACTAGTTTGGCGTTCTGGCTCCGCCCCTTCTCTTCTTGCAAACTTCTCAAATTTATATGTTTTCAAAGAATTTACATCAACAAGGCTTATTAAATACAGTATGTTAAGTTGTCCTTTACCACATTTATTATGTGATGCCAAAGTCCAACCTATGGAAGAATTTCACAAAAAGAGGTTACGGGCCTATTTGTTATGTGTTTTACTTTAGTGTTTTTGGTGCAGGGCTTCATTTTAGGCCCAAAAACATGTTTAGTGACACTTATTTTGTTTTAAACAGTACAAAAATATTGTTTTAAACAGTGCTGAATTTGGGTCCAAAAGTGAAACACCAAAATGGTGTTTTTGGTTGTTTCAGTACTGTAACCCAATAAAAAACACTGTAGCGGATGAAGTAAGTTGGTCCAATACTGTAGCGGATAAAGTAGCCTTAAAACGGATTTGCAACATTTTGGCCCGATGTTTTCTCTCTCCTCTGAAACCCTAGAGAAGCGATTTGGGAGGCGATTTGGGAAGCGACAAAAAGGAATCGCAATATACTGTGAGTACTGTCTTCTATTTCCCTTTCTTTGTTGTTTCCTTTGATGTTGTTTCCAAATCTGCAAGCACGAAGTCCAAATCTGTAAAGAAAATCTATACGTATACTCTCATATAGTCAAAAAGACAAATTTCTTTCGACTCTCTCTCTCTTTCTCTCTCTGGTATAAAAATTGTCGAGGGTTTGTGCTTTTGGGTGCCATGGAAGGCTCTTCTGCTCCGCCGTCGATTTCAACCCAACCGGACGGCGGAGCCTCCATATTTCTCGCCGATCTTCCCTCTCGCGACCTGTTCTCCTCCACTGTCCTCTCTTCAAATCCGGTGATTTCTTTCACAACAACCTGTATGTCGAATTCTACACCACACACACAAACAAAAAATGAGACTCCACGGCATGCTGCACAGTTGTAGTATAGAAAATTGGCTTGGGAGCTTGGGAGTGACATGGTTACAGAGTTTCTAATTAGATTAGATGATACGCATATATAAAATGACTAGGTTCAAGGTTATACAAATCTATAAAAGGATAAGAAAAATATGAATAATTAATGGATGCATAACATGTAAGTATGCTACAATATTAAATGATAAATATTCCATACAATAGAAAATATACTGTTATTGATATGGATTTTTAATTAAAAGTTTATCTAGAAGCAAAAGTTTCTCAAAACTCTCCAAATCATTTTCTTGTAAAGTTTGTGGCATATTTAATCAAGAATTGAACACTTTTAAGTAAAATATGCATAAGTTCAGAAGAATATCTGCATCTTTTACTCTTATTGAATTTAGGATTTCTAGAATAAGAAAACACAATTATTAGTGAAATTTTGTGACTAAGAGTGCTTCCCTTCTCCTCTCACGTATGTGTATATATATACAATTGCTATTACAATGAAATGACCATATTTTCCTTTGGTAAAATACCTAATATTGTAACATTTATCACCAATTTCTCCTTTCTCTTCTTGTTTTTTATTTTTTATATTTTCATTCAGTATTCTTTATTAAATGCGTGAACTTCTCGTAGAACTTTCCAGCACTTATGCCATATTAATTATATGTACGTTTCCTAAGAACTAAGTAAAACCTAAAATCATAAACTCTTTCTAGCAAATGTATAAAAGGGGAATAAATATATTCTAATAGTATAAACATTCATGAATCAGTAGTTGTGATAGAGTAACTTTAATACCATCAATAGTTTTTCCTAGTTTAATATTTTTTTTTTTTTTTTTGTTATTAATTATAGTGTTGTTATTAATATGTTAGATGGATATGAATGTTGAGAATGTGGAACAATGCGGTGATTCTCTCACAATTGAAGAAGTGGTTGAAGTTACGAACGATGGAAAATTGTTATGGGATGAGTCACTCATTGAAAAATTCGTGAATATTATGGTGGAAGAAGTTAAAGCTAATAATCGTAGTGGCACAACATTTAGTAAAAGTGATTGGAGTAATTTAGTCAAACAAATGAATGTTCAAACGTGGAAAAAATTTGGTTTAACCCAACTTCGGAATAAGTTTAATGGTTTGAGGAAAATTTATACTGAGTTTAAGAAATTATTATCGGAGACTGACGTGGGATATAACAATGAGACGGGCATGGTTATAGTTGAGGAAGAGAGATGGGACAGGTTGTGCAAGGTTAGTAATTTAATTATTAGTCTTAAATAAATAATAAAATCTTGTATATTATTGGTTATGTGGTTAATATTATAACAAAATTTGTAGGTTGTTACGAATGCAAATAAGTATAAAAAGTATGGATGTAAGCATTTTGACAAGATGTCGACTATATTTGGGGACACATATGCAAAAGGGATGCATGCCCACCCATCCACTACAGCACCACCCACAATCATTTTGCCCACTCCCAATGATGACGATGATGAGGAAGAGGGTTGTGAGGTCAGTCCCCCACCTTTACGTAAAGGTAAGAAAGCCAAAAGAGATACTTTATCTCCTGGTATAGCTGCACTCTTGTCAAACATGAATGAGAATTCTGAGAGGAGAGCTGAGAGAATGGAAGCTGCAATAGAGAAAGCAGCTAAAGCATCTTCTACTTCTACTCGTGTATCTTCATGTGAGAAAGGAGATGATGAAGCTCTCTCTCCCTCAAAAAATGATAAAGATTATGAAATGTTTGATGCCTCCATGCTCCTTTTACAAAAAATACCTGGAATTGAGATGGCCCAATTCGCTAAGGTATCGAAGTTATTACATGATTCTGAGAAGTGACAGAAATTTTTTCTTTCGGCACCTGAGGATGTAAGAATTGGTTGGGCATTGAATGTTTGAGTTTTTCTTTATGGATGATTGTGTTTTGTGTCATCGTTTAACTTATTACTATCTCACATATAGTTGACTGTAATAACTTAAATACTTTTATTATCTCACATTTGGATGACTGTAATAACTTAAATATTTTTATTATATCACATCTGGATGACTGTAATAACTTAAATACTTTTATTATCTCACATCTGGATTACTGTAATAACTTAAATATTTTTATTATCTCACATCTGGATTGCTGTAATAACTTAAATACTTTTATTATCTCACATTTGTATGGCTATAATAACTTAAATAATTTTATTTCTTGGATGCCTGTTAGTACTCAAATACTTTAATACCATTATTTAAATGTTTGTTTTATTATTTAAATGTTTTATTTATTATTTAATTGATTTGCTTATTAACTTAAATGTTTTGCTTGTATTAAATCTTTAAATAGGGTAATGGATATGTGGAATAAGAAAAATAATTCAATTATATGACGATGAGGAGGACAATGAGAGTGTCTTAATATTTGCTGCTCTTTTAGAAGAGCAGAACTTCTATCAAAAGAGGCGTTGTAGGGATTCCATTTTACAAGGGGAAACATATGTTATGGAGATTTTAAACGGCCATAGAGAAAGATGTTATGAAAATTTTAGGATGTACCCTGAAGTTTTCAGAACATTGTGTAGTACCCTGAAAGGTATAGGGCTGAAGGATTCTAAATTTTTAATTGTTTATGA